CTGAGCTCTTTTGCTCAAGGCTAGCATTCTACCACTTTGAGCCACACTCTACTTCTGGTTGGGGATAAGAGTCTCATGGACTTGAGCTGGGAATGTGGCTTAGAGTACATGCCCAGCACACATGAAGCCCTGGGTTCAATTCCTCACTACCACATAATCAGAAAAAGCCAAAAGTAGCACTGCGGCTCAAGTGATAGGGTGCTAGCCTTAAGCAAAAGAAGCTCAGGGACAGTGCCCAAGCCCTGAGTTCAGACTCCAGGACTAGAAAAAAAGAAAAGAATAGAAAAACTCTCTTTGTCCTACCTGTCAGGGTTGGCTTTGACAAGATCCTTAGATCTCAGCCTCCTGAGTAGACAGGATTACAAGCATGAGCCATGCAACACTCAGCATTAAAATTATATTATATTATATTATATTATTTATTTATTATTTTGTCAGTCATGGGGCTTAAACTCTGGGCCTGGGCACTGTCCCTGAGCTCTTCAGCTCAAGGCAAGTGCTCTACTACATGAGGCACAGCGCCACTTCCAGCTTTTTCTGTTTATGTGGTGCTGTGGAATTGAACCCAGGGCCTCTATCACTGAGCCACCTTCCCAGCCCTAAAATTACATTTTTTTAAAAAGCTGGAAGTAGGGCTGGGAAGGTGGCTCAGTGGTAGAGCGCTTGCCTTGCATGCCTGAGGTCTTAGGTTCGATTCCTCAGCACCACATAAGAAAAAAGCCGGAATTGGCGCTGTGGCTCAAGTGGTTGAGCACTAGCCTTCAGGTGAAGAGCTGAGGGACAGCGCCCAAATCCAGCATTCAGGCCCCACAACCAGACCCCCCCCCAAAAAAAAAAAAAGAAAAAGAAAAAGCTGGAAGTAGCTCAAGTGGCAGAGTACCAACTGAGCTAAGAGACCCCAAGAGTTCAAGTCCTTGTATTGGCAAAACAAAACAAAAACAAAAAAGGTGTAAGATGTTGTACTCATCATGTATTTAGTACAGCTAAAAATTATGGAAATTCAATCCAGAATACAAGTGATACTTCATCTCCAAAATAAGCGACAAAAAGCAGAGTTGGTGGTATAGCTGAAATAATATAACACTAACTAAGCAAGCATGAGGCCCTGAATTCAAGCCCAGTTCTGGTGAAAAAAAAAATTTAAGTCTCAAGGCTTTATAGTCACCAGAACTTTTTATTTTCAGCCATGGGGCTTGAACTCAGGGTCTGGGCACTGTCCCTGAGCTTTTTCACTCAAGGCTAGTGCTCTACCACTTTGGACAGCAGTTCTGTTTCATTTTCTGGTGGTTAATTGGAGATAAGAGTCCCACACACACATTTTGTGTGTGTGTGTGTGTGTGTGTGTGTGTGTGTGTGTGTGTGTGTGTGTGTGTGTGTGTGTAGGGAGTGGGTAAAGGAGAGAATGAGCAATGGACAGAATGAATGAGGGTGAATATGATGAAACCTTTAAGAAGAGGGAAGAGGGTGTGGAGACAGCACTCCTATAATCCTAGCTACTCAGTAGACTGAGATCAGATATTGCAGTTCAAAACTAATCAGAACAGAAAAGTTCATGTTGGGCTGGGAAAGTGGCTCAGTGGTAGAGTGCTTGCCTTGCATGCATGAGGCCCTGGGTTCAATTCTCAGCACCACATAAGCAGAAAAAGCCAGCAGTGGCGCTGTGGCTCAAGTGGGAGAGTGCTAGCCTTGAGCTGAAGAGCTGAGGGACAGCGCCCAGGACCAGAGTTCAGGCCCACACCTGACCATAAAAAAAATAAAAATAAAACACCAGAAAAGTTCATGTTACTTCCCTTCCCCGCCTTTCACACCTCCCACCCCTGTTGTGGAACTTGAACTCAGAGCTTGGGAGCTGTCTCTGAGCTTCTTTGTGCTCAAGGCTGGCACTCTATCACTTGAGCCATAGTGCCACTTCTGGATTTTTGTTTGTTTGAGTGGTTAATTGGAGATGAGAGTCTCTCAGGGACTTTTCTGCCTGAGCTGACTTTGAACTTTGATTCTTAGATCTCAGCCTCCTGAGTAGCTAGGATTATAGGCATGAGCCACTATCACTCAGCTCTTGATACTTTTATCTGCAATTAATCACCAGAAAGCCAGAACTGGAGCTGTGTCTCAAGTGGTAGAGCACCAGCCTTGAGTGGAAAAAGCCAAGTGAGACTGAGAGGCTAGGTTCAAGCTCCAGTTCTGGCACCAAAAAAAAAAAATTTTTTTTTAAGACAAAAAATCTTTTATAGGGGCTGGGAAGGTGGCTCAGTGGTAGAGCGCTTGCCTTGAATGCCTGTGGCCCTGGGTTTGATTCCTCAACACCACATAAGCAAAAAGAAAAAAGCCGGAAGTGGCGCTGTGGCTCAAGTGGTAGAGCGCTAGCCTTGAGCTGAAGAGCTGAGGGACAGCGCCCAGGCCCAGAGTTCAGGCCCCACGACCGGACCCAAAAAACAAAAACAAAATCTTTTATAGATTCTATAAGGGCTGGAAAGATGGCTTGGTAGTAGAGTGCTTGTCTTAGCTGCATGAGGCCCTGAGTTTGATTCCTCAGCACCAAATAAGCAGAAAAAGCCAGAAGTGGTGCTATCACTCAAGTGTGGTAGAGCAGTAGCCTTGAGCTGAAGAGCTGAGGGACAGTGCCAGGCCCAGAGTTCAGGCCCCACGACTGGCCAAAACAAACAAACAAAAAAAGATTTCTCAGACTTTGCTCTTCGGGCTGGTTTCAAATCTTGATTCCCAGATCTCAACTTCCCCAGTAGCTAGGATTACAGGTGTGAGCCACGAGTGCCCATTTCCTTTTCCTCTGTTGTTGGGTTTTGAATGGGCTACAGCTTTGAGGAAGATGACAAATGATCTTCCCTTGAACTGAGCAATAGAAGCTTCTTGAGTAAGCCGTCCTCTCCTCTCCTGCTTCAACCCCAGTGGTCAGGCTTGGGGCTAGGGTTGTGTGGGGAGCCCAGCGGCACAGGTATTAGTTAGGGCAGACTTAACGTTTTGATGAACACCAAACGGGATATTTGTTTTTTCTAGAGTTTCTTCATTTCCATCACCAGAAAATAAATCTGATCTTTAGGGCTCTCGTAATAACCCGTGGGGCCCCATAGTCAGCATGGCCCCATGGCCCGGCCTGCTGGAGGGGACGGGACATCAAGAGAGGCGAATCTCACCGCTCCACAGACCAGGCCACAGGATAGAGCAGGGCTTTGAGAGGCTGATGTCACCGCCGGAGGGGCGTGCCATGCCGCCGAAGGACTGGGGCCTGCCGCTGAAAGGGGCGGGGCATGCTACTGGAGGGGTGGAGCATTGAGCCTCACATGGTGAGCTGTCAGGAAGTGATTGGACAGTGGGCAGCTTGGGGGAGGAGCATGAATAGCAGTTGGAAAACCGTTAGGGGAAGGGCCGTTAGGAAAAAAACGTTAGTTAATTAGTGTAGAGGAAGGAGAGTAGTAGGAGTGGAGGGAGAGCCTGCAGGAGGGGAAAGCCTGCCTGAACAGGGGAGGGCAGGCCTATGAAGGACAGGGCAAGCCTGGAGAGGCCATTTGGGGCTTCTCGAGGAAGCCATTTGGAACCTCCTCTGGAGGTCATTTGGGACCTCCTTGAGAGGTCATTTGGGCCTCCTCTGAAGGCCATTTGGGGCCTCCTTGAGAGGTCATTTGGGGCCTCCTTGAGAGGTCATTTGGGGCCTCCTCTGAAGGCCATTTGGGGCCTCCTTGAGAGGTTATTTGGGGCTTCTTGAGGAAGCTATTCAGGGCCTCCTTGAGGGGCCGTTAGGGGTCTCGAGACCTCCATAGGTCATTCGGGGCCTCCTCTGGAGGCCATTTGGGACCTCCCTTTAGAGAGGCCTGTGGAGAGGCGCCTCCCGGAGCAGAGCAGGAGCGGCCTGCAGTGGAGGAGGAAGGGAAAAACAGGGAAAAGCCTTCCCCATTGGAGGTTTGGAGCTTTGGAGCTTTGGAGGTCAAAGATTTGGAGGTTTGCAGACCAACTAATTGGTAGTTTGCAGACTAACTAATAAAGGTCGGGGGGTCAGGACTGCCCATTGGAGGTTTGGTGGTTGAGGCTGCTCTTGGTTCTGAGTGGCCCAGGACAAGGTAGTCTCAAGACCCTTTTCTGGTGTAAATAGTGTAGATAAACTTCTTTTGTTCACCTCTCACCGTGCCTCGATGGATTGTCTTGCTTTCTGGAGATCATAAGTCTCTGACAGTTCAATCTGGACCACCATCATCTCATACGGGATGTCTTTGTCCAGTCTCTTGAATTTCATGTGTTGATCAAACACAACTGGTATCCTATTAAGTACAATATATGTAACCATTGTACAATCACTTGTTTGTACACCCATCCCTGTCCCAACTAGCCCTTGAGATCCCCCTCATCCAGACAGGAACTGAAGCTTGACTACTAGGCTCACAGTGCACTGAAGAGGCTACAACGCCCCAGTTGATAAGTTTCCCACAGCCTGGAGTAGACAGTACTATGTATACCCACCTTGCTGTTCAGAACACCAGGAGAAGAGCCAGATTGCATTGGTGATAAAACAAGACACAAATTTGTTTTTACAACTTCCCCAAAGTTTGATTAATTTTATCTTCATGGCCTGTGATTTCTCTGTAAACACAGTAGCACTGAGGTGGCAGGAGAGGGACTTTGGCTGACTAATGGCAGGCAGTCTCAAGCAGGCTGTAGACAAGCACAGCCCTGATCGGCAAGCCTGGCCCTGAAACATGAACTAGGACATGGTTCCAGCTGAAGGCACAGGGCTAACAAGAAAGGACCCACGAGTTGCTGTCAGGACACACACTTCCAGGCACCCAAGGCCAAGACTCTGCTGACGTGGCAGCCCTTCACCCTGGCCCCTTGCTGCCCCCCGCCCCTCTCCCCACCCCCCCTGCCAGCTGCCATCAGGGCTCTGCCCTGTGTCTGCCACACCTGTCACTGCCTGTCCTTGTCTGTGTGTGAGGGGGGGATCAGCCCCTCCTCAGCAGCCCAGTAGAGCAGGCAGTTAGTGGGGAGGGGAGGGAATATGGAGCGGGGGCCGGTGGTGGGGGCAGGGCCAGGGGCTGGGACCCGAATCCGGGCACTGCTAGGCTGCCTGGTGAAGGTATTACTCTGGGTGGCCTCTGCCTTGCTGTATTTTGGAAGTGAGCAAGCTGCCCGCCTCCTGGGCAGTCCTTGCTTACGGCGCCTCTACCATGCCTGGTTGGCAGCAGTGGTCATCTTCGGACCCCTTCTGCAGTTCCATGTCAACTCTCGGACTATCTTCGCTAGTCACGGCAACTTCTTCAACATGTGAGTCCACTCAAGGCCATGGGAACCGGCTTCCCGCACTATGGGATCCCAGCTCCCTTCAAACTCCTGTTCTCTTGCCAGTCTGAACACTAAAAATAGGCTAGGAGGTGGACAGGAGAAGGTCAGGGGGAGGGGGAAGGGGAAGAGAGCTTGTGGGGGCTGTCTACAGGGTAAGTTGGGAGAGGAAATGGAGGCCCTAGAATGTGGAACAGCCTTCTAAAAAGATGGCAAATTTCAAATGACTGGGGGTGGTAAAGGTCATGGGGAAGAGAACCGCTGGTAGTGTTCTGGGGACAGCTGGGTGAGGGGAACACAGACCAGGGTGGGGAGATGGAACTCAGGATCTTAGAGGCCTTCTCTCTTCTCTGCCCACAGAAAGTTTGTGAATTCAGCGTGGGGCTGGACCTGCACCTTCCTAGGGGGCTTTGTGCTGCTGGTGGTGTTCCTGGCAACACGGCGCGTGGCAGTCACTGCCAGACACCTGAGTCGCCTAGTAGTTGGGGCGGCTGTGTGGCGGGGGGCTGGCCGTGCCTTCCTGCTCATAGAAGACCTGACTGGCTCCTGCTTTGAGCCTCTACCCCAGGGTCTTCTGCTCCATGAACTACCAGACCGCCGAAGCTGCCTAGCAGCTGGGCATCAATGGCGGGGCTATACAGTCTCTTCCCACACCTTCCTGCTCACCTTCTGCTGCCTGCTCATGGCTGAGGAAGCAGCAGTATTTGCCAAGTACCTGGCCCACGGGCTGCCTGCTGGCACCCCCTTACGCCTTGTCTTCCTGCTCAATGTGCTGCTGCTGGGCCTCTGGAACTTCTTGTTGCTCTGTACCGTCATCTATTTCCACCAGTACACTCACAAGGTGGTGGGCGCCGCAGTGGGCACCTTTGCTTGGTACCTCACCTATGGCAGTTGGTATCATCAGCCCTGGTCTCCAGGGAGCCCGGGCCATGGGCTCTTCCCCTACCCCCACTCCAGCCGCAAGCATAACTGAAAGAAATAAAGGCACAAAAGGCCTGGCTCTGGCTCCTCTTATCATTTATTGGGGCCCAAAAAGGGCAGGAAGGGTAAGAAAAGAGTCTACTAGTCACTTTCCTCCATTTTTCCTTCCATCCCTTTCAGTCATTGAACTGGAATGTTTCTGTGTGTGTGTGTGTCTGTCTATCTGTCTGTCTCTGTCTCTGTCTCTGTCTCTGTCTCTGTCTCTCTCTCTCTCTCACACACACACACACACACACACACACACACACACTTTTTCCTCTCTTTCTCTCTCTGTACTATTATGGGGCTTTGAACTCAGGCAGAGCTTTGTGCTCTTTTTGGCTTTTTCACTCAAGGCTGGTACTGTATTATTTAAGTCACACTTCTACTTCCAGCTTTTTGCTGGAGATAAGAGTCTGTTGAATTTATTTGCACAAACTGGCTTTGAACTTGGATCCTCGGATCTCAGCCTCCTGAATAGCTAGGTTTCTTTCTTATTTTTCTTTTTCTTTTATTCTCATCTATATTTTTTTAATCAGCATCACTTAGTTGCACAGGGTGGGAGGAGGATATTTTGATATGTTCATAGATGCATACACACCTCTCCATCACCCCCTCCCCCATGTCTTTCATTTTCTACACAATCTCCTTCCTTTCAGTCTTCTAGCTATCTGGGACTGTGGAACCAAGAAATGGTGCTAGTAACTCAAAATTACAGTGCTCTATCCAGGCACTGGTGGCTCACACCTGTAATCCTGGCTTCTCAGAAGGCTGAGATCTGAGAATCAGTCCAAAGCCAGGCCATGAAAAAAGTTCCTGATACTCCAATTAAATACCCCAAAAGCCAGAAGTGGAGCTGTGGCTTAAGTGGCAGAACACTAGACTTGAGCAGATAAAACACAAGGACAACACCCAGGCCTTGAGTTTAAGCTCTAGGTTCCTGACTCTGGGTGTGTGTGTGTGTGTGTGTGTGTGTGTGTGTGTGTGTTTGTGTGTGTGTGTGTGTGTGTGTGTGTGTGTGTGTGTGTTTATTGTTCTCTCTCCTTTTGTACTAGGGAATAAACCCAGAGTCATGCATGCTAGGAGCTACTCAAGGTTTTGCCACAAAGACCTATGAAGGCTTTGAACTTGCAGGGTTTATTTTTTGTTTGGTTGGGTTTGGTGGTACTGAAATTTGTAATTTTTAGTGTGTGTGTGCCGGTCCTGGATTTTTTTTGGCGGGGGGAGGGTCCAGTTGTGAAGCCTGAACTCTGGGCCTGGGCGCTGTCCCTCAGTTCTTCAGCTCAAGGCTAGCGCTCTACCACTTGAGCCACAGCGCCACTTCCGGCTTTTTTTTTCTGCTTATGTGGTGCTGAGGAATTGAACCCAGGGCCTCATGCATGCAAGGCAAGCGCTCTACCACTGAGCCACCTTCCCAGCCCCCTGGATTTTTTTTTTTAATCAAAGACTTTATTGGATAAATGTTACACGATATTCTTCAACATTTAACTCTGAACATACTTAGATGAGAAGCAATTTGTCATTCAAGTCTACAAAATGAAATAGGCTCATGAAGATTTGAAGCATAGACAGAAGGCAGCATGACGCAAAGCTTAATTATTAAGCAACAAAAGCAATGAAAGTGAAATTGCATCATGGTAGGTCTGGATTTTAAATACCACTGTTTCATGTTAAAAAAGTGAAAATCTGGTTTGGTAACAACACACTTTTGAGAATTTGTCACGAGAAAAAATACTTGCCCTCCCAACTCTTTAGCCTTTTAGTTACTTCTTGGTCATTTCCACCTTGCTATAAAAGCATTCTAAAGCTTTAAAAATGTCCATCACATCACTCCACGGTCTCAGCACGGCTGGGAGGGCCTGGTTCGTGCAGGGAACCTCACCGGTCAGCACCGCTGGTGTTTCCACCGCTGGTGGAAAGGTGTGCATGGAGCCCTTGTCAGCTTCCCAACTCCCATGATTCCATCCTGAGCTAGTCCTATGGAACACACCCAGAACGGCATGGGCTGAGCTCACTAGACTCCAGACATGCTGCCTTTTTCTTCTTGAGTTAGAGAACAGATCGCAGGCAGGTAGAGTAAATGTTGTGTAGTGGTTCTGGATTTTGAACTTAGTTTGAACTGGGTTTTGAGCACTGCTCCCGAGCTTCTTTTGCTCAAAGTTAACATTCTACCAGTTGAGCCACAGTTCCACTTATAGCTTTATGGTAATGTATGTCTCTCAGAAGCTGATTGTTCATGGCTCACACTTGTAATCTGTAAGACAGACAAGGTTTCTGCTGTTAAGGCAAGTGTTAATCACAAATAATAATAGCAAACACTAGCAGTGTGCTTACTCTGTACCATATAATTTTAAATACCTGTAAATTTTGTATGTTTTTAAAATTATTATTATAAAGGCAATGTACAGGGGAGTTACAGTTACATAAGTCATGTAAAGAGCACATGTTTTTTGTACAGTGTCACCCCTTCTCTCTTTGTCTCCCAATTTTTCCCTTCCATTCCCACCCACAAGTTGTATAGCTCTTCAGTTCAAGGCTAATGCTCTACCACTTGAGTCACAGCACCACTTGCAGTTTTCTGGTGGTTAATTTGAGATGAGTCTCATGGACTTTCCTGTCTGGGCTGGCTTTGAACTGCAGTCCTCAGATCTCAGCCTCCTGAGTAGCTAAGATTACAGGTATGAGCCACTGGTGCCCGGCTCTTTAAGTTTGTTATATTAACACATCAGTTCTCACACCAACACCATGGGATCACTTTTGGTGTTTTTTGTTGTTGTGTTTGCCAATACTGGGACTTAAACTCTTGGCCTTATGCCCTTGCTCAATGCTGCTGCTGTACTATTTGAGCCACACCTCCATTTCCAGTTTTTTTTTTTTTTTTGCTGGTTACTTGGAGATAAGAGTCTCTCAGATTTATCTACCCAGGCTGACTTTAAACCTTACCCTCAGTTATCAGCTTCCCGAGTAAGCAGGATTACAGGCATGAACCACTTTGTCAGACCGAGGTAGATTTAATAGTATTACCATTGTACAGTTGTGAAAATTAAGGTCAGAAGTTAAAGTCACTTGTTCATAGCTAGCAATTAGGGGAGCCAGGATTACAAATCAGACAATATGGGTACGTTGTCTATGTTCTAAACAAACAAAAAACAACAAGAAATTAGCAACTACAGCCCTCCTGTGGGCAGTTTTTGTATGGCCTGCAAGCTAAGAATAATATTTACATTTTTATATGTTAAAAAAGCAAAGATGAGTCAGGTGCCAGTGGCTCACACCTGTAATCCTAGCTACTCAGGAGGCTGACATCTAAGGATCACAGTTGGAGCCAGCCAGGTCAGGAAAGTCCTTGGAGACTCTTATCTCCAATAAACTACTACAAAACTGAAAGTGGCACTGTGGCTCAAGCAGTAGAACGCTCACCTTGAGCTGAATAGCTGAGGGACAGCGCCCAACCCCAGAGTTCAAGCCCAATGACCAACAACAACAACAAAAATCAAAGATGAATAATTCCTGACACTTGAATATTATATGAAATTCAAATTCTAGTATCTATAAATTAAGGTTTTCTGAAACCCAGCCACACTAATTCAATTACCTAGGCTACTTTCTTGCTACAGTAGAAAAACTAAGTAGATACTACAGACTGCAAGGCCCACAAAGCCTAAATCATCTAACACCTTACGAAAAGTTTGCTCAGCCTTGGTTTAAACCACTACATTTTCCTATATCAGTACCATTAAATTGTCTAATATCAGAGAGAAAGATGTCAGTACTACAATAGACTGATCTGTAACAAAGGGGAGAAGATACTTTATGAAGGATGCTGGAGAAAGCTCTCTCTGAGGAACTGACATCTGAGCTCAGAACTGAATGTCCACACACTGGGGGAGAGTGTTTCAGGCAAAGGATTTCTCAAGGGCAAAGTACCTGAGATAGGAACAAGCAACTGTTTGAGAAACAAACAGAAAATATTTGCAATTGCAATGCATGAGAGGAAAGCAATAGTGGCTACAGCGGCTCCTGCCTGTAATTCTCCTAATCAAGAGGCTGAGATCTGAGGATCTCCCTTCAAAGCCAGCCATGGTAGGAAAGTCTGTGAGACTTTCCACGAAATCAAAAAAAAAAAAGGAAGGAAGGAAGGAAGGAAAAGAAAAGAAAGAAAGAAAAAGGAAAAGACCTAAGTGGAGCTTTGGCTCAAGTGATAGAGCTCTACCTGCACCAAAAAAATGTAATAAATATAAGACAAGTAGATCATGAAGGAAAGCTCTAGAGAGGTGTGAACCTGTTGCTCTGGGAGAGTAGGTTATAGAAAAATGGACTCCGCAGCCCATGGTCCAGGGGAGAGCTAACTGAGGCTTGGATAGTGTCAGAGTCTGGGTGTCATTTTGTGGGCCAGAGGATACCCAGGGTGCAATGGGGCACCCTAGCAAGACTAGGCAACAGAAGCCAGAAAGAAGTGGCTCTCATAAGACTGATTATAGTCCCTGGGCGGATCAGGGGGAAAAAGAGAGCCATAGGGGAGGTGGGGAGAGGGGAGGCAGGGGCTGCCAGGCCCGAGATGGGCAGCGTTGGGATGGCTGGAAACCAGGCTTTGGGAGGCTGGCGCCAGAGCCGGGCCGGGAGAAGCCGGGCGGAAACGCGGCCGTCGGGCTGCAGGGGGAGCCCCCGCCCCGCCCGGCTCGGGTCTCGGGCTGTCCCCGCCTCCGCTGGTCCCTCCGCTCGCGCTCCGCAAGGAGGCCGCGCGCGTGGCCAGCTCCGCTTTCACTTTTCCTTCCCTGCCGGCCCCTGCCCCTCTCCTCGTGCGGTTCTGGCCCCCCGCCCCGGCCATGGCCATGCTCAGGGTCCAGCCCGAAGCCCAAGCCAAGGTAAGTGCTGAGGGTTCAAGAAGGGGCCCTTTCGGGGGGCGTGGCTCCGAGGGGCTGAGGGACCCCTCCCCAGCTGCCCCCCCCAGCCCCGGATCTGAATGATCCCCCCCCCCTGCTGGCTTCCCCCCAGCCCCGGATCTGAATCGGGGCCGGGGGGGTCCTGTCAACCGGGCCCGGAGCACCTGAGCCGGCTGGGATGGGAGGCAGCTGTGATCGGCGGGGCGAGGTGAAGCGGAGAGCTAGCGTGGAAGGGAAGTCCGCTGGCTCAGGCCACACACAGACAGGTCCTGCCTGCACACCACCTGTGTCTCCCTTTTAGGAAGGGCCGCCAGTCTCCCTCCACAGGTTACTCAGTCTCTTCCTTCTCGCATAGGACAGTACTAACACCCCTCTATACAGGCCGGGAGGCCCGGAATGTCCTAACATGAAGTACAATTCACGGTCAAGTACCATTCACGGTTCTCACCTCCATCTGCATAGAGCCCGCTCCCTGCTCCCATACACAGATTCAGAGTCCCAGAGATCTACCTCATTCCCCCCACCCCCAGTCCACTCAGTACCTATATCTCACCTTCTTTAGGTGTGGCTTCAAAGGGATCCATTTTACCCCTCCCCAGGCCAGCCCCTACACTACCCTTAGGGAACTGGCCCCCAAAAAACTGATCTTAAAGCCAGGCTTCTAAAGGGTTGCCTGTGTTCCACAGGTAGATGTGTTTCGGGAAGACCTGTGTGCTAAGGTAAGACCTGCCCTTTCCACAGCCTCACCCCTACCCTACCCTACCTACCACCCCTACTGCTCAGGCTTGTGTCTGATTCTGACCCCATCTTCCTCACTCAGACAGAGAACCTGCTTGGGAGCTATTTCCCTAAGAAGATTGCTGAGTTGGATGCATTTTTAAAGGTAATGGGGACAGGCAAGTAGGGAGTAGGGCCCAAGGGGAAGTCTGGGTGTGAGGGGTCTGAGTGTGAGGAGATGAGAGGAACACCTGATCTCTACCTTACATCAGGAGCCGGCACTCAATGAAGCCAACCTGAGCAATCTGAAGGCTCCATTGGACATCCCAATACCAGATCCAGCTAAGGAGAAAGAGAAGGAAGAGCGGAAGAAACAACAGGAGGCAAGCCAAGAGATCTGGGAGAAAGGGCCCAACCAGGGGAAAACAAACCTTAGTCCTGTTTCCATGAGCTCCTCTCTCCTTGCAGAAGGAAGACAAAGATGAAAAAAAGAAAGGGGAAGATGACGACAAAGGTGCCTAATACTTACGTGCTGGGAAAAGACTTGGGTCCCAAGATGCAGGGGATACTGCCTAAGGATCCACTCTCTTCTGCCTCATCCTCAAACATGTAACTAACTGACCCATTGCCTAACTCTCTAGGTCCTCCCTGTGGCCCAGTGAACTGCAATGAAAAGATTGTGGTCCTCCTGCAGCGCCTAAAACCTGAGATCAAAGATGTCACTGAGCAGCTCAACCTGGTGAGCCTTCCACTTCCATCTCCAGGCTTCTACCCTTTGCCTTCTTGGACCCTGCCAGTTAGAGCATGACATTTGCTAAATCTTGGGAGAAGGCCCAGCAAGAAAGTCTAGCAATCCAGACCCTAGGGCTCAAAATGAACCTGGCATCCCTCTATCAGTGTGGGTAGTGAAGAAAGGGAAGATAAGAGCCTAGCAACTGGGTGAGAGTTGATGTGGTTCCCCCCACTCCTCCAGGTCACTACCTGGTTGCAGCTACAGATTCCTAGGATTGAAGATGGAAATAATTTTGGAGTGGCTGTCCAGGTAAGAACACTGTCCCCTTCTGACTTTCCTGCCTTCCTGTGTAGCTCATGCTTCCTTTTCAACGTCTCTCACTACTATTTCTTCCTTCAGGAAAAGGTGTTTGAGCTGATGACCAGCCTTCATACCAAACTGGAAGGTTTCCATACTCAAATCTCTAAGTGAGTAACTGGCCAACTGAACCCACAACAAATTACCTTTATTCTGGGACGGAGGATATCTCTACTCCCAAGCACATTCTTCTGCCTTTGTTTTGGACAGAGGCCTGCACTCTTTTTCCACTCTATATAAACCACCTGTACTTCCCACAGGTATTTCTCTGAACGTGGTGATGCAGTGACAAAAGCAGCCAAGCAGCCCCATGTGGTACGTGAGGCTCAGGTTAGGGTACATGGGGGAAGGACACATTTCAAGTCAGGTCAGGTCTGACCCTGAATTTCTGCAGGGTGATTATCGGCAGCTGGTGCATGAGCTGGATGAGGCAGAGTACCAGGACATTCGGCTGATGGTCATGGAGATCCGAAATGTTTATGTGAGGAGGGGAGGGGAGGGGAGGGGAGGGGACGATTGGGGTTGGCAGAGGCATCTTTCTCAGGCTACCCACTTCCTGACTCCTCATGCTGGGGGGTGGAGAAAGACAAAACTCAGCCTCTCCATAAGACATGAAACCACCAGAGGCCTGTGTCTGACCCCCTCCCTCCTCTACCCTGCCCGTATAGGCTGTGTTGTATGACATCATTCTGAAGAACTTCGAGAAACTCAAGAAGCCCCGGGGAGAAACAAAGGGGATGATCTACTGAGAGCCTCTTCTCTCATTTTGTGACAGCTTATCCCTGCTTTTTTTGAATCAAGGACTCCAGACCTTTCCCCTAACTTCTTCCTGTTGAGGTTTCTCCCTCAGTTTGTCTCCCAGACACAATAAATACAGTCATTGTTGCCCACCAGCCCATCTCTTTATTGGTTCAACCTTCCTAGTCCTTGGCTCAGGCATTTCCATTGGTGGGACCAACCCACTGGGTGATCTGGGTGTTGAGTTTCTGGTTCGTCCAATCCTGTCGGATGTCATCAAGGTGACAGTCAAAGTCCACAAGGTGCTGGTGTGCCCGGCCCTCCAGTAGTGCTCCCACCATCTGCCGTGACTCTTCCCAGTCCCTCCACATCACTCTGAAAGAGAACAGTCCACAGAGGTCAAACAGCATGCAGTAGAGCCATATATAGACTTAAAAGAAGTTGGGTCTAGAGTAAGAAGCTTGGATCATGACCAGAGAAAGCCCAGCAGCCTTGGGCTTCTAAGAAGTGGAGGGAGTAAAACACTCACAAGTTCTTGTCCTTGGGGATCCAGCGGAGACCGTGGCTCTCCAGGACGATGACTGGAGGCACACAAGGCTGAGGCACTAGTTTCTTATTATCCAACTGGGGAGGCAAAAGGCAATGGAGTTTCAAGAAACCCCTCTTCCCTACTTTTGTCCACCTCTTCACCCCCACACACAAGTCTCACCATAATAAGTACTGCATCAGGGAAGAACTCTGCAATTCGCCCAGCGATTTTCAAGGCCAGAGACCCAGGGCTGCGTAGAAGGAAGATCAGAGGAATGAGGAGCCGACTCTGTGGGCAGACCCTGTCCATCTGAGGTGGGCCTCCCAGGTGTCATAGATGTGGGTGCAGTTGTAGCCTTTCCCTGTAGCTGGCCTGAGAGGATAGGGCCTGCTTGATGCTTGGTGAACGATTGCTTGATGCTTGAGTACTGTGGGAAACAGGTGCTCAGACACTGCTGGTGAGAGTGGAAATCAAAGGAGGTCTTTTTGGAGAGTAATTTGGCATAGCTAGCCAGGATGAAACTAAATACTATATAGCTAACCAAGAAATTCCAATATAAATTTACCGAGGGTGTGGCGTAGGTGGTAGAGCTCTTTCTTAGCAAGTGCAAGATCCTAGGTTTAATCCCCAATACCACAAAAAAAAAAAAAAAAAAAAAGCAAATAATTGACTGTAACAGCAAAGTCTCCATAATTAACAAATAAATGGAAATACCCCTGTTGTGGGTTCCAGTACTGGTGTGTGAACTCAGGGCTTGGGTGCTGTCCCTTAGCTTTTTCACTCAAGGCTGGCACTCTACAACCTGAGCCACACCTCCACTTCTGGCTTTTTTTTTTTAGTGGAAAATTAGAAATAAGAGTATCATGGACTTTCCTTTCCAGGCGGCTTTGAACCATACACTATTCTCAGATCTCAACCTCTTGAGGAACTAGAATTACAGATGTGAGCCACCATTACCCAACTTTGGAAATACCCTCAATGTTTACTGTAAAGCATTAAATATAGTTACATGCATACTATATAGCCATTTGGGTAAGGTAGATCTTGCTGTGGAAATGGAAAGATGTAAAAAAAAAAATCTATTAAGTGAAGAAGGAAAGCAAATTACAAAACTATTTCTAACTTGATTATGTTAGAAATACATTTTGATTTTAAATTCTTTTTTTAAGGTGCTGGGTTCAGCTTTTTCTACTTTTTTTCAGCACTTAACCTAGAGGGACACTCATTTAACGCAAGATCAGACTGTTCTAGTTGAAATACTTGTCCTTCCCACCCCCCACAACAGCTACTCTAGGGCAGGACTCTGTCCTATTCATCTTTTTAACGCCTCACTCCAGTACCAAGCGTAGTGCCTGGTGTGCAGACCCTGCTCCTAAGCATTTGAAGAAAAGATGGACAGGATAATCTTGATTTATATGCACTCCAACCAAACCTACCTTAATCATGTGGCTTCTGCCTCTGGCTACCCGACTCACCTCTGATCATCCAGGGCTGCATTGGCATGGTAGTACCCAGCTACCACCAGACCGGCCTGTGCGCCCCACACATCCACCTGTCGTGGAAAAGGGGCCATCAGTAACTAAATCTTGCCACTGATTCTGTGGGCGTGCACTACTGTGAAGGGTTTCGGGGGCTGGCGATGGGGGTTGTGCGTCCAGCGGCAGCACCTGGTTGAGGGCGACCTCCAGCATGACGGACAAGGCCAGTTGGCTGTGGAAGAGGGGCACACAATCGGTGAGACACAGGCATTCCCCGGACCGCGGCGCAGGCGCCAGCAACAGCCCATTGACCGCAGCGTGTGGGTACCGAGCAGCATGCAGGCACATCTTTACGTAGGCCCGGGCCGAGATCTCCACCTCCCCCATGGCGGGCAGGGCCTGCCAGGGACGCAGCAGGCCCGATTAGTGCCGGTTCTCCGCCTCGCAAAAGCGAGCTTGGCCTTTCCCAGTGACTCCTCAATTAGATTCAACCGTGACGCCAACACTGCTGGAAGGCAAGACAGACCTCCGGCTACCAGCGACCTCGGTCAGGAGGCCGTCCCTCTTAACCCCCCAGGGTGGGCGAGAAGGAGGTCCTTAACCTCCCGCGACACAGAGCCCCGCCTCGGCCCAATTCCAGCCGCCGGGGCGCAGATCCACGCCTGCTCCTTACAGTCTCCGGGAGTCCCGCCCACAGAGCGCTCTACAGTAGGTCCAGAGTTCTTCCTTTATCCAATCAGCGGGTGCGCTCAGCCTTGCCCCGCCTTTGTCTCTAGCGAACCGGAAAGAACGTAAATTGTAGGGAAAAGAAAATTGCCGGGATGTTTATTGGCTATCTGACTTCTGCTTTGGGCTGCTGCAAGCTATCTTTGCAGTACCTGGGCTACATCTCCGCCACCCTCCCCACCCCCCGCCCCGCCACTAGCCCGCCTCCTCCCTCCCCTCCCGCGAGCTTCAGGCAGATCAGCTTAAGGAAATGCCAGTCCCTTGTCCTCAGTAGTAGACCTTTGAACAAGATCTCTCTCTGTGTGAGCACTGTCCCTGAACTTTTATGCTCAAGACTAGTGATCTCTTTTGGCCCACAGCAAACTTCCAGCTTATTTTGGTGGTTAATTGGAGACAAGTTTCATGGATCTTACTGTCCAGACTGGCTTTGAATTGCAATCCTCACATCTCAGCCTCCTGTGTAGCTAGGATTACAGACATGAACCACAGGTGCCTTGTGATCTTTGAATGACTGACACACACAGAAGCAATCCACAAAAAGCACGTCATTTATTTTTCTTCTAGTCTTGAACTCAGTACATAGATGGCTTCTCTTCACCCTTTGGGTTGACAATTTTCTCCAGGTTGCTACTGATTATATGATAAAGCTCAGCCTAGAAAGCCAGAAGAACAAGAGTTAGGTTCTTGGCCTTCTGTTCCTCCATCCACCTCCCTTATGAGCTTCCTCCACACTCACATAGAAGGCCCTCAAGTTCAGCACCATGTTCCTGAGCTCCCTATAGGCTGCTTCATCCCGTTCATGCACCAAAGCTCGATAATCCATCTGGGATGTAGGACGCAAAGCTGAGTTAGCCCCACAGGAAGTTGGAACACTGTTTTCCCATATACGGAATAGAATTTGAGTTGGGTGCAGGTGGCTTCACACCTGTAATGCTAGCTACTCAGGAGGCTGAGATCTGAGGATTGTGGACCAAAGCCAGCCCAGACAGGAAAGTCTGTAATACTCTTATCTTTAATTAATCGCCAAAAAGCCAGAAGTGGAGCTGTGGTTCATGTGGTGGAGCAATAGCTTTGAGCAAACAAGTTCGGAGGCAGTGTTTAAGCCCTGAGTTCAAGCCTAGGACTGCAAAAAGAAATTAAAAAAAAACAAAACAACAACCAGAATAGAAAGTTAAAGATGGGCCTATCTCACCACCAACAAATGGGATCACATAGGATCAAGCAGAGAAAAGAGAAAAGGGTCAAGATTGTTGAAGCCCAAATCAAGGGTTTTCTTATTTTGTGCCAGTATTGGGGATTGAACCCAGTGCATGTCTTTGAATTTTTTTACTTAAGCTTTGTACTCTACAACTTGTGGCACAGCTCCAGTGTCTCCTAGAACAGCTTCCAACCTTGATCCTCAGATTTTATCCACCTAAGTAGCTAGGATTACAGGCATGAGCCACCAGTGCCTGGCTTCCAAATCAGTTTTACTAAGTTTTTGGCTTTAATATTCTCCATGTTGGGAAAGTAATAAATAAGAAAAAGAAGATGGCTTCCCCTCAGCTCAATCCCACCCCAGCCAGCCTCAGCTAAAAGGCAGGTGGATTGTGCACTTACTACATGGGTCTCCTTAGAGGCCTTAGCAACCGCATCCCCACGTTCTGAGAAGTACCTGCCAAAGCAAGGGTAATAGCACAGAAATGTGTTTTGAAGAACAGGTATTCCAACACGTCTTTCCCCAAATCTCCCATCATCCTGATGGGACTGTGCAGCTTTGGGAGTCCAACAGAAACATCCCTGCAGCCCCCATTCAGGTCCTCCTGCTGCCCTCACTTGGAAATGGTTGTCTGAAAGGCTTCCACTTTGGTCTTGACAGCATTCACTCTTTCCAGTACCTTCTCCTACAGACGTGGAGGAAAAGAAAACAGCTCATCTCCCTTCCTCACTAGCTATTTCACTTTTCATCCTAGATCATGCTCATCTTCTGTCTCTTACAAATTTCTCCATACTGTGTCCTTAGTTACCCATTTCTTACCTGTATTGCCACCCCAAAATCATTTCCATCCTCAATCTTTGGGATCAGATGCTGGATCCATGTTATCACCTACATAGATTAAGAGGAGGAATCATTCAACAAATGCACTGGTTTCTTCCTATTATGCCATATCCTAATAATAGCTACACGTAATTGAATATTCATTATGTGCCATGTACTATGATGAATTATTATTATCATGGAAACTTTCCAAAGTATATATTCTTACTCTGCTCATTTAACAGATTCAACAACTGAGTCACAGACTTACTTAAGGATCTCATTTAGGTAAGTCACAATCAGGATTTGAACTTGGTTTCCTTCTTGGGTCCAATCTTTTAAAGCAATTCACTATATCTTATCTCTCCACTGGGCACTTAGTACAGCAGAAGATTCTGAGGTTATACAGGTGGATATATCCTAGTTTCTGATTTCAGCTGTACCATTGTGATACTAGAAATCTAGCAGACTGCTGAGAACAGTAAGTATCTAAACACAAAGCACAGAAATAAGTTTCCTTAGGTTTCTGAATGAAACAATTACATCTCTAAAAGAGACCATTGCCTGGCGTTGCTTGTCTTCTCTTCCCACTTTCCCCAGCTGACAGCCTTACCAGAATGCATTTCTCTTTGAGAGTCCACACTTCTGGCTTAACCACAGCAAGCAGGGCCAACACCTTCTCATTTCCAGGGAGAAAACCACACTTAGGGACTGTGAGAGAGAGAGGATTTCAGGCCTTTCTCATCCAGTAGTCAGTGTGTCATTTCTCCTACCCTAATCACACATTCTCGCATTACCTTCTCTCTTCTCCTGTTTATCTGTCTCCATCTAAAGCCAAAAAAGGAAAGTAGCTTTAGAAGTTGAAAGAGTAACATCTCCAATTGAGTTTATAGTCCAAGTTCTGTACTCTGTGTGCCTCACCTCATCATCTTTGGGTGGAGGATCTGGGATAGGGATGTCCAGTGAGGCTCGGAGGGAAGTGAGATCGGCCACATTGAAAGAGTCCTCCTGCACAGAGTTCACTGTCAGGAACTGTCTACCCTCTTCCCCTCACCCAAAGTTACATTTATATTCCCCTCCAACTCTCCTCTCCCCTCACCCCACATTCCATCTGCTCTCTGTCTCCAACCTAGGCTCAGGCTTCACACTATCCCAACATTCCCAGTCTGTTATTCACAGCTGTTTTCTGCATGCTGAGCCCAGTTCTTAGTTTAAAACAGTGGATCAAAGCCAGGCGCTAATGGCTTACTCTTGTAATCCTTGCTACTCAGGAGGCTGAGATCTGAGGATTGCAGTTCAAAACCAGTTGAGCAGCAAAGTCCTTATCTCTAATTATCAAAAAGCCAGAAGTGCATTTGTAGCTCAAGTGGTAGAGCACTAGCCTTAAGCAAAAAAGTTCAGGGGTAGGGCCCTAGGCCCAGAGTTCAAGCCCCAGGACTAGCAAACACACAGACACAAAAGGGTAGGTGGAGGAGAAAGAGACCAAGGGCTAGAGCAGAAGGGACCCACTCACTTGTAAAAGCTGATTCAGGTAAATTATTTTCTGTGGCAAGAATCTGTGGAGAAATTCTTCAGCCTGTGGGTTACATTGCACAAACAGTCATAGAAAACACCCAATGAGATGTAAGAAATGAACCTGGACAGGCCCTTGAGAATCATTGAGTCCAAGACTCTGAACTTAGGAAACTGAAACCCTGGAAACGAAGGGACTTGCCCAAGCTAGTGAGAGGCAGAACCAAAGGTTAAAACCTTGGCATTTGTGATTTGGGATGCATGCCTGTCCTTTCCCATCAAAAGAAAGTACAGAAGAGGCAAGAGTCCTAGAGGGGTTAGACTGAAAGTAGAAATCAGAAATCAGGGGCTCACCTTGGGTGAAGGCTTGGTAAAGGAAGTAAGGAGCAAGTATAGGGTGGGTCTGCGGGGGTTCTCTGAGAGCTTGTGATCCTCAAAGTATTACACCAAGATTCGGTGTCAAATTGCTTGAATTCAGAGAGACTTACCTCCTGGAAAAGATTGTCTCTGAAGACATCCACCTGCACAGAATACCCGGATGCTGATTAAGGGTTCCGGTTGTAAAGAGGAAAATCCTGTCCCCAAACCCCAACAGGGTGCCCAACTGTGGCTCAGATCTTTCCCACAAGCCAGTTTTCCCTGGAAGCCTTTGCTCAGTGCAGACTGGCTAAAGGGCAGGAATTTGAGGATCCCGGGGCAGAAAGTGAAAGCACTAAAGAGAGATTGGGGGAATTCTCTGGCACTGCCTTGGTCCCTTTCAGCACCCCAGCTTGGCTTCCATTTGGAGGGTTCCCCGACCCCTTCCAGCCCTCCGGTTCCTTGGTACCTGTTTACGGGCTTCCCCGCTTAAGCGGACCCCACACGGTTTAGCCATGCTGCTCCAGTTGCTAGAACACAGGTCCCCCAGCTAGCTACCGGCTTTCGATTTCAGTCCCCGGGCCCAGGCCCGCCCCTCTCAGCCCCACCCCTCCCTCCTCCCATTTCCCCCCTCCTCTTGGCAAGCCTACAAGAACTACAATCCAATCTGTAGTTCTTCAGCTAGTCCCAGGCCCGTTACCACCAGGAAGAGCGGTTCTGGCTGGGTCTCAAGCGCAGAGGCTGTCCGAGCAAAGGGGGCACAGCGGGAGGACTGGAACAGAGGTTGTTCCTCGGGGGGAGGCGGGGCTTGTCGTGAGGACTGTCCAGGGGAAGTTCGGGGTTGGGCTGAGTGTAGAATAGAAAAAGGGTGTGCAATGGTGGGTGTCCCTAAGAACGACTATGAGAAGGGTACAATGAAGTGTCCGAGCGAATGGAATGAGTAGTAAGAGGTAGGACCTCGGGTGGACAAGGGCTAGCAGAATGTGGGAGCTGCCTGGGACAGACAGACAGAAGAGGGGGCGGGGCTCGTTTGAACTGGGCTAACGGTGTCCGGAGTCGCATGCCGGGTAAGGCAGGATTTTCCCAGTGGAGAGCGGAGCATTCATAGCCTAGTGGTCCGAATTAAGAGAAGATGATTTTAAGTAAAACAGGCTAAGAACACGCGGAGGACTACCCGGAAGGAGCCGAACAATCCAGAGGGAGGCGTGGAAGAGCTCTAGAATTAAGAGGAAAAAAGCTGGGACGTGCCAAGGGAGGAGCCAGCAGCTGCTTTATCTCCGCATTGGTGGAGATCCGGCCGTTCTTCTTGGCCACGCCCCCTGTCCCTCAGATCACCGCCTCCTTAACCTTAAACCCCACCCCTTCCTCTGAAACTGTGTTGCAGTCCCGCCCTCCTGCCTGATACTTCCTGTTCCCGGCTAACCCTTGTGGGTAGCCGGGGCCGCAGTGTGAGTAGGCTGAGTGACCCGCGCGGCAACTGCGGCGCCGCAAAGCCGGACGTTTTTTCGGGTTTCCGGGCCACGCGCAGCCTGCTCCGGGTCCTGGCGGAACGGCGAGGCTGAGGCTGACTCCAGTCTCGAGATGCCGGGGGAGGAGGAGCGAGCCCTCCTGGCGGCCCGGGAGGAGCTGGCGAGCGCCTTGAGGAGGGATTCTGGGCAGTCATTTTCCCTGGAGCAGCTCCAGCCACTACTGGCCACCTCTCTGCCACCGGCTGCCCGCTACCTGCAGCTGGACGCCGCACGGCTGGTCCGCTGCAACGCGCTCGGGGAGGTGAGGCCAGGTCCGCCCGGGAAGCGGGACGTAGATCTTCCCGAAGCCAGGGCTGGGCTCACAAATTGCCTTCTGACTGCCCTCCAGCCAAGAAACTACCTCAACACTCTGTCCACGGCATTGAACATCCTGGAGAAATATGGCCGCAACCTCCTTAGCCCTCAGCGGCCCCGATACTGGCGCGGGGTAAAGTTCAATAATCCGGTCTTTCGCACCACAGTGGATGCTGTGCAGGTGAAGTCCTTGGTTCTTATGGGGGAAGGACACTAGATCAAGGCTGAAAGTTGTTCCCAAATCTGTGCTGAATGGGGAGGGTTTCAGCCTTATTGCCCATGGAGCCTGCTTGGGTGGTGACTGGTTGTGAATGTGTGGCAGGGGGGCCGGGATGTGTTGCGACTGTATGGCTATACTGAGGAGAGGCCAGATGGATTGAGCTTCCCCGAAGAGCAGGAGGAACCAGATGAGCACCAAGTTGCTACGGTCACATTGGAAGTACTGCTGCTTCGGACTGAGCTCAGCTTACTGTTGGAGGTGAGATGCCCCTTTAGTCCCTTGAAGCTTTTAGGTACCAAGTTGAAGAGCCCAGCCTCATTCAAGCTGTTGGGAGGACTCCATGCTGCTGAACTATGGATCTAGTCCTCTCAGCAGTTTGGGAGCCCCCCATACTGTTCACGGCTTAGAGAGGGAGCCTTGCCCTAAATGAGAACTCTTATGATCTTATTTGCAGAATACTCATCCAAGACAGAATGCACTGGAACAGCTGCTAAATGACAAAGTTGGAGATGATGTAAGGGGGACAGGCAGGAAGAATGATGATAAAGGGGTCAGGAATCACGGGTCTCTGTCCCCCAACTCTTGCCCATTGTTTGTTCTTTCTTCCTAGTTGCTGCAGCTTTCAGAGTTTGACCCACTATTGAGAGAGATTGCGCCCGGCCCCCTCACCACACCCTCAGCCACAGGTATCACTGGTCCTTTATGGAAGAGAGCAGTAGACTTATTGATGGATATTTGGGACCTTTCTTTATGTTCTTACATTTCTTGCTTTTCTTTTTTCTTTTCAGTATTGAATTTGAACTTAGGGCCTTGTGCTTGAGTTACACTCCTAGCCTATCTTTCTTTTTGTTTGGTAGTGTTGTTGTTGGAATTTGTTTTCTTTTTCGCCAACACCAGGATTTGAACTCAAGGCCTCCTGTTTGTTCAGCGTGCTTGCCTGCTGCCTGGCACTCCACCACTTGAGCCATACTTCCAGATTTGCTTTTTGTTGGTTATTTGGAGATGGAGTCTCATTGACTTTTCTGCCATGGGTGACTTCAAATTTTAATTTTCTGGATTTTAGCCTCCTGAGTATCTAGGATCATAGTTATGTCATTGGTTACTGCCTCTTTGCATTTTTTGCAAGGGGGGGTGGGTCTGAACTCTAGACCTGGGCACTGCCCTGAGCTCTTCAGCTCAAGGCTAGCACTCTACCACTTGAGTCACAGTGCCACTTCTGGCCTTTTCTGTTTATGTGGTACTGAGGAATCGAACCCAGGACCTCATGCATGCGAGGCAAGCACTGTACCACTGAGCCACCTTCCCAGCCCTAGTTTTGTTGTTTGGTATTGAAGTAGAAAAGTCACTAGTGACTGGCTCTTTGCTGCTTTTTTTTTTTTGCCAGTCCTGGGGCTTGAATTCAGGGCCTGGGCATTGTCCCTGAGCTTCTTTGCTCAAGACTAGCACTCTTGAGCCACAGTGCCACTTCTGGCTTTTCCTGTTTATGTGGTACTGAGGAATCAAACCCAGGGCTTCGTGCATGCTAAACAAGCACTCTACCACTTGGCCATGTTTCCAGCTCCTGCATTTTCTTTTATTTTTTGGGGTGCTAGTCCTGGGGTTCAAACTCATTACCTGGGTGCTATCTCTGATTTTTTTTTCTCAAGGCTCTACCACTTGAACCATAACTCCAAAAAGCTCTGGCTTTTTGGTAGTTAATTGGAGGTAAGAGTCACAGACTTCCCTGTCACAAAAAAGCTGAAAGTGGAGTTTCAGCTCAAATGGTATAGCACTAACCTTGAGCAAAAAAGCTTAGGGATAGGCCCTGAGTTAAAGCCCCAGGACCAGCATGCACGCGCACACACACAAAAGAGACAGACCTGTGATACTTGTGTCTTGTGTTTTGTGTAATACAATATCTTCCACTTCCATCCATTTTTCTTTTTCTCTCTTTCTTTTTTTTGTCGGTTGTGGGGCTTGAACTCTGGGCTTGGGTACTGTCCCTCCGCTCTTCAGCTCAAGGTGTGCCCTCTACCACTTGAGGCACAGCACCACTTCCAGTTTTCTAGTGGTTTATTGGAGATAAGAGTCTCATGGACTTTCCTGCCGGGGCTGGCTTTGAACCGTAATCCTCAGACCTCAGCCTCCTGAGTAGCTAGGATTACAGGCATGAGACACCAGCACCCAGCCTCCATCCGTTTTTTCTTAAGTGATAGGATTCTCTTTTGTGTGGATGAGTAATTGAGTAATACTCTATTGTAAATGTGCCATATATGTGTTTGTGTGTGTGTGTGTGTATATATATGTATATGTATATATATATATATATGTTTATGTTTATATGGCAGAGGAATAGTATATAACCTGTTCATCTGTTGACAGATACCTAGGCTAATTACATGTATTGGGTATTGTGTAAACAGTAAACATGGGTATTCAGGTTAAAATTTAAACCTTATATTTTGTTCCTGTTTTCCAGGTTGTAGTCCTGGTCCTTGCTTTCTCTGTGGTTCAGCTCCAGCCACTCTGCACTGCCCAGCCTGTAAACAGGCCTCATGCCAAGCTTGTGACCTCTTGTTCCATGGACACCCATCCCGTGCTCATCACCTTCGACAGACCCTGCCTAGAACCCCGCAGGCTGCCCACTTGAGCCCCAGGTAAGATGCTTTCTTGGTTGGAATAAAATTAAGAGGCTGTAGAAAATCACATAGATATCTATTATGTGCCAAGGTGTATATTATAAAGATTTTAGTAGAAGGCAAGCAACCAGTCACACCACAAGAAAATTACAGACAAACCAAGCATCAATCCTATAAGACTGGTTATAATGGAACCTGAGCTGGTGGCTCATGCTTGTAATCCTAGCTACTGAATAGGAGGCTGAGATCTGAGGATTAAGGTTAAAGCCAGTCTGAAAAGGGTGCTGGTGACTCACGCCTCTAGTCCTAGCTGCTCTCGAGGCTGAGATCAGAGGATCATGGTTCAGAGCCAGCCGAGGCAACAAAATCCATGAGACTTTTATTTATTTATTTATTTAATTTTTGTCAGTCGTGGGGCTTGAACTCTGGGCTTGGGTACTGTTCCTCCGCATTTCAGCTCAAGGCGAGCACTCTACCATTTGAGCTGTGGTGCCACTTCCAGTTTTCTGAGTGGTTTAGTGGAGTTAAAAATCTCGTGGACTAAAACGAACTTTACAACGTTGGTGCGGGGGGGGGGGGGGGGGGGGGGGGGGGCTGGGGGGGGAGGAAGGAGAAGGATTGGGATTAGTGGGGGAGGGGGGAGGCTGGGAAGGGATGTGAAGGGTAAACAAAGGAGGAGGCTGCAATGCTTGGTAAGAAATGTACACATTATCCTGCCCATGTAACTGTAACTCCTCTGTACAGTATGTTCACAAATAAAATTAAATTAAATTTAAAAAAAAAAAAAAAAATCTCGTGGACTGGGGCTGGGAAGATGGCTCAGTGGTAGAGCGCTTGCCTTGCATGCCTGAGGCCCTGGGTTCGATTCCTCAGCACCACATAAGCAAAATGAAAAAAAAAAGCCGGAAGTGGCGCTGTGGCTCAAGTGGTAGAGTGCTAGCCTTGAGCTGAAGAGCTGAGGGACAGCGCCCAGGCCCAGAGTTCAGGCCCCATGACCGGACCAAAAAAAAAAAAAAAATCTCGTGGACTTTCCTGCCCAGGTTGGCTTTGAACCTCGATCCTCAGATCTCAGCCTCCTGAGTAGCTAGGATTACAGGCGTGAGCCACCGATGCCTGCAAATCCATGAGACTCTTATTTCCAGTTAACACCAGAAAACCAAAAGTGGCACTGTGGCTCTAAGTGGTAGAGTGCTAGCTTTGAGCAAAAGAGCTCAGGGACAGCGCCCAGTCTGTAAATTCAAGCTCCACAACTCACATGCATGCACACACACACACACACACACACACACACACACACACACACACACACAGCCTGATCATTATCTCTAATTAACCAGTAAAATACTAACTCAAAGTGTGGCTCACATGGTAGAGTGCTAACCTTGAGCATAAAAACTGAGCAAAAATTCAAAACCCTATACCAGCACACACATGTACACACATGAACACACACACACACACACACACAAAGACTGGTTATATTATTCCTTATAAAGGAATGCAAATAGGTAGTATGTAGATACAATCTTATCTCAAGGATAAGATCCTTTGACAGTATTTTAAATACCTAGCACAATTAAGGCCCTATGTTGTGGATACATACCAAGCAATAAGCTACAAACTATCATGTACATGTTGAACAGACTGTAGGTATAGGAGTATTCCAAATAGAGAGAACAAGATGCACAATGGTCAGAGCCACATTCCCTAGGAAATGAGACCTGACTGGGGATGAGGGACTCAGGCATTAGGTACCACCTCAGCAGGCCATGTCTACTTTTCTATTACAGTTTACCTGCATCATCCCACCCACGACCTCATTCAACCTCCTTGCTGGCTCTCGGAGGCAGCTCTCTTTCTTCCCCTGATCCTGGAAGCACCCATCTGCTGTGGCACTGTGCTGCCTGTACCATGCTAAATGAGCCTTGGGCAGTCCTCTGTGTGGCCTGTAAAAGGCCTAGAGGCTGTAAGATATTGGGGATAGGGACTGAAGGTCTCCAAGGAAGTGGAGACCTAGAACCTGAGCTTGCACGGGGTCAGTGGGCCTGCCAGAGCTGTACCTTTGAGAATGAGGCAGCAGCTGTGCTATGTGCCATATGTGAGAGACCACGGCTTGCCCAGCCTCCTAGCTTGGTGATGGATTCCCAGGATGGTGGCATTTGTCTGCAGCCCCTTAAGGTAACCTGTTCTTATCCTTCTCAGCAATTTATTTGCCTTTAACTTCATGCCATTCTCTACTTCCCCATTTTCCTTTTTCCTTCAGTATTCACCCTTAGTTCTCTATATTTCCATTATGAACCTCAGCTATCCAATCAATGGGATAATTCTCTCTACCTTCCCAGCAGGGGGATACTTTGCCTTCTGCCCAGACCCAAGTCTGGTACTGTATTCACTGTACCTTCTGCAACTTGGGTCCTGGCTGGGTGTGTGCTATGTGTAACCGGACCAGCAGCCCTACCCCAGTACAGCATGCTCCTGTGCCCTGTGCTAGCTCTTTGGAAAAGGGACTTCCAAAGCCTGGGCCTCCACAACGACTTGGTGTCTCCATGACCAGTACCAGTGGAAATGCTGAGAAACAGCGCCAAGACAAGATGCGAGAGGAAGGTCTCCAGCTAGTGCTCATGATCCGGGTAAGAATCTGGCCTACATTGAGGTGGGACTGAGCTGGGGAAAGAAAAGTGCCATAGCTTGTTAATAGGAGTTCTTAGATAAAACCTGTCATTTTGTATTGAATACTTCAGGAAAGGCAGTTACCATGGTATGCACTGGTCACATGATCAGTATGTCTTCAACAGTCACTGCTGATATGTTGGATCAGGCCGAGGGTTTGGTTTGGGGATGGTGCTTTTCCTGATAGACCCTCTGGATGTCTGTTCCTTAGGAAGGAGAAACTGCAGGTGCCTGTCCAGAGGAGATCTTCTCAGCCTTACAGTACTCAGGCACTGAAGTGCCCCTGCAGTGGTTGCGCTCAGAGCTGCCTTATGTGTTGGAGATGGTAGCTGAACTGGCTGGACAGCAGGACCCAGGTCTGGGGGCCTTTTCTTGTCAGGAAGCCCGGAAAGCCTGGCTGGATCGTCATGGGAACCTTGATGAAGCTGTGGAGGAGTGTGTGAGGGCCAGGAGGAGGAAGGTACTAGTTCTGCTGGAGGTGGGACACAGTTGAGGTTTCAGAGTCTTTCATACTCTGTCTTGCTTGTTTTTACCTCCTCTTACGCCCACTCCGCTCCCAATGTGCAGGTGCAAGAGCTCCAGTCCCTGGGCTTTGGGCCTGAGGAAGGGTCCCTTCAGGCTTTATTCCAGCATGGGGGTGATGTGGCACGGGCTCTGACTGAACTACAGCGCCAACGTCTAGAGCCCTTTCACCAGCGCCTCTGGGATACTGGTCCTGAACCCACCTCTTCCTGGGATGGGCCAGACAAGCAGGTACTGAGAAAAGGCAAGATGCTCAAGAGCCCAGAAGAAGACTGATGGGGGGAGAATCACTGATCTGACAGTTATTTCTCTCTGCACCTGAATGAAATTGCAGAGCCTGGTCAGACGGCTTTTGGCAGTTTATGCACTTCCCAGCTGGGGCCGGGCAGAGCTGGCTCTGTCACTGCTGCAGGAGACACCCAGGAACTATGAACTGTTGGATGTGGTAGAAGCTGTGAGGCATAGCCAGGACCGGGCCTTCCTTCGTCGCCTGCTTGCCCAGGAATGTGCTGTGTGTGGTTGGACCCTGCCCAGAAACAAAGTAAGTTCCTCCCTACTATACTTTGTTTTAGAACTCTCAGTTGCCATTAGACCACCTGCCTCACTCTTGTCTAGTCCTGTCTTCTGCTCTGCAGTTGCTCATATACCCCTGCAGGTTTCTGAGTAGGGAGAGCAGGAACATGTTGCCCTAATTATGGAAAATTGAAAAAACAAAAAACATGTTAGTCAGTTTTCTGTTATATAGTAAATACCTGAAGCAGTCAACTCACAAAGAGAAAGGTTTATTTTGGCTCACAGTTTCAGATATTTCAGCCATGATTTTTTTGGCTCAGTTTCTTTTTTTTGTGCTAGTACTGGGACTTGGACTCAGGGCCTGGGCATTATCCCTTAGCATTTTCCCTCAAGGCTAGCTCTACCACTTGAGCCACAGTTCTACTTCCAGCTTTTTATTGGTTAAGGGGAGATAAGAGTCTTGAGGATTTTCTTGCCCTAGCTGGTCTCCAACTACAATTCTAAGCCTCCTGGGGAGCTAGGATTAGATGTATAAGCCACCAATGTCTGGCTGGCTCTATTTCTTTAGGCTTGTGATGGCATAAGCAGGATAATGTGGCAAAACAACACCACTTACCTTATGGCCAGGAAGTCAAAGACTAGGGTCCTCAGTTCCCTTTGATGGCATGCTCCTTCACACTAGACATCTCCCTCTAAAGGCTTCACTTACCTCTCAATAATAGTGCCATCCCCAGGAACAGGCTTTACTATGTAGAGCTCTGTGGGACTTCAAACTACAGCAAATGTACAGTAGTAGAAAGATTGTATAATGAATTTCCTTACTCCTCACTCAATTCCATTGTATAATGAATTTCCTTACACCTCACTTCACTCCATTGTATAATAAATTTCCTTACACCTTACTCCATTCCAGCAGACATTCCAGTCACCAAATTTCAGCAGTATCATTGTATTGCCAATCTTTTTCTTTTGTGCTGGTACCTCAAAGCTTGGTCATGGTCTCTTGAGTTTTTGTGCTCAAGCCTAGTAGTGGTCTACCACTTGAGCTATAGCTCCATGTCTGGCGTTTTGTTTGTTAATTAGGAGTAAGTGTCAGGGTTGGGGGGGAAGGTGGCTAAGTGGTAGAGTGCCTGCCTTTTGCATGCATGAGGCCTCGGTTCGATTCCTCAGCACCAAATAAGCAGAAAAAGCCGGAAGTGGGGCTGAGGCTCAAGTGGTAGGGCACTAGTTTACACTGAAGAGCTGACAGACAGCACCCAGGCCCAGAGTTCAGGCCCCACGATCAACCAAAAAAAAAAAAAAAAATACAAGTAAGTGTCTCATAGACTTTTCTGTCTGGGCTGGCCTCAAACTGCAATCCTCAGATTTTAGCCACCTAAGTAGCTAGGATTACAGGTGTGAGCCATCAGCAACCAGCTGTCTGGCCAATCTTGATTTCATCTATACTCATGATTATTTTGAAGCAAATCTCAGGTGTTTATAAATAATAAGTCTCATTCTTTATAAATATTTTGATGTATATCTGTAAAATATAAAACACTTATTTGAATAAACCATTGACATACCAAAAATTTAACAATAATTTAGCATCATCAAATATTCACTTGATAAGAATAGCCCTTCAGCTCACACCGATGGCTCATGTCTGTAATCCTAGCTTCTGAGGAGGCTGAAATCTGACATTCACAGTTCAAAACCAGCTTAGGCAAGAAACCATGAGTGTTATCTCCAATTAATCACAGAAAAAGCTAGAAGTGACACTGTGACTTAAGTGGTAGAATGCTATCCTTGAGCAAAAGGAGCACAGGGAGAGCTCAAGCCCCCGGACTGACAAAAAAGAAACAAAAAAAGAACCATCCTTCTTTATCTTCTGAGCCCTCACTTTATCTAGGTCAAAGTGGCAGCTTGTTGTTCTATACAGTCCAGTTTAAATAGCCTGGATTTGTGTTTTGTTTTTTCCTTTTGTTTTAAAATAACTGCAGATACACAGGAAATTGTGAAAATAGAATATTTTACCCATCTTCCCTTAATGGTGATATACAATTTTAATGCAAATCAATTCTAAAAGAAACATTTGACAGTGTTAGCTATAGTACAGATCTTATTTGTTTACTTATATGTGTTTATGTATATAGTTTTTTCAGATTTTATCCCATATGTAGATTCATATAACCATAACCATAATCAGGATAAAATTACAGCCAACCTGGTGGGTTCACCTAGCACTCAGGAAGTTAAGGCAGGAGAATTGGGAGTTAAGGCAGCCTAGACCACATACTGAATCCGAGGCCAGCCTGGCAACATAGCAAGGCCTTGTTTTTAAATTTAAAGAAGATCTATACAGTACCATGTCACAAAAACAAACAAAAAAAAAAAACACTTCATGCTGACCCTATGTTCTAACTCTACCCCCTATGCTCGTCACCTAACAACCACTATTCTGTTCTCTATAGGGTTATTATTTCAAGATGTGCGAGCACGTGTGCGTGTGCATGAGCGCACTTGTACTAGGACGAACTCAGAGTCTTGCACTCTCATTTGGGTTTTTTGCTCAAGGCTGGTGCTTTACCACTTGAGCCATACCTCACTGTCAGCTTTTGGTGGTTAATTGGTAATAAGAGTCTCACAGGGGCTGGGAATGTGGCTTAGTGGTAGAGTACATGTTTAGTATGCATGAAGCCCTGTGCTCAATTCCTCCGTACCACATAAACAGAAAAAGCTGGAAGTGGCACTGTGGCTCAAGTGGTAGAGTACTAGCCTTGAACAAAAGAAGCTCAAGAATAGTGCTCAGGCCCTGAGTTCAAGCCCCACGACTGGCAAAAAAAAAAAAAAAAATCACAGATTTGTCTACCCAGGCTAACTTCAAACTGTGATCTTCATATCTCAGCCTCCTGAATAGCTAGAATTACAGGCCTGACTACCAGCTCCATGTTTCTTTATTTTTTTTGGCCAGTCCTGGGGCTTGAACTCAGGACCTGGATGCTATCCCTGAGCTCCTTTTGCTCAAGGCTAGCACTCTACCACTTGGGCCATAGCGTCACTTCTGGCTTTTTCTGTTTATGTGATACTGAGGAATCAAACCCAGGGCTTCATGCATGCAAGGCAAGAACTCTAACACTAAGCCACATTTCTAGCCCTCCCAGTTTCAAGATATTATTTACGTATTTGTTTTTAATTGAATGTGAATGCCTTTAGAGACATTCTTGTCTTTAGATCTTGCTATTGCTTGTTTTCCTCTACTAACTACCTTCAGATATTTGGGTTGCCAGCACTTGTGGATACCTGAGATTGTTACCCATGGCTAGTTAATTAGACTGGTTTCTCAGTGGACATTTGGTTAGTAGAATCCTTTTGCAGGTTGATTGTGGTGGCTTCTGACCTTCCCTTTCTCGTCTCTCTCTCTCCCCTCTAGATGCAGGCCTTGATTTCCTGTGAGTGTACCATCTGTCCTGAGTGCTTCCGCCAACATTTCACCATTGCCTTGAAGGAAAAGCACATCACAGACATGGCATGCCCTGCTTGTGGCCGCCCAGACCTCACTGATGATACTCAGTTACTCAGCTACTTCTCTACTCTTGACATCCAGGTATTACAGTCTCTATGGTTCTGCTCTCCCAGGCTTTGAACTCACCATCTCTACATTCTCAATTCACCACTCGCCATCTCTACTTTCTGTTCCTAGCTACGAGACAGCCTAGAGTCAGATGCCTATGCATTGTTTCATAAGAAGCTGACTGAGGCTGTGCTGATGCGAGACCCCAAGTTCTTGTGGTGTGCCCAGGTAAATGGCATGACCAGAAGAGCTAGTTATGGAGGGGTAGGGGATGTCTCCAGGTCAGGGTTTGAATAGCTTTATGTTCTTACACTCACAGTGCTCCTTTGGCTTCATATATGAGCGTGAACAGCTGGAGGCCACATGTCCCCAGTGTCACCAGACCTTCTGTGTGCGCTGCAAGCGCCAGGTGAGTCACACTCAAAGTCTGAAAAATATTTGTTAAGCCATTCTGAGGTACCGTTTTAGACTCAGGGTATACTGGAAGGCAAAACAGTCACAGGGTTTGAGTTTAAAGAGCATATTATTTAGGGAGCCAGGCACAAGGAAAAAGGGAAGAATGGAGGGAGAAGGAAAAGGGAGAGAAAGAAGAAAGTAAAGAAAGGGAAAGTAGCCAGGTACTGGTGGCTCATTCCTGTAATTCAGGCTACATAGGAGGCTGAGATTTGAGAATCACAGTTCAAAGCCGGCCCAGGCAGGAAAGTCTGTGAGATTCTTCATTCTACTAAAACTACCAAAAGAGCTGGAAGTAGAGCTGTGGCTCAAGTTGTAGAATGTTAGCCTTGTGCAAAAAAGCTCAGGAACAACACCTAGGTCCTGAGTTTAAGCCACAGGACTAGCAAAGAGACAGAGAAAGAGCAGGGGGGGGGGGGGGGGGGGAGGGAGGGATGCTTAAATATAGATATAAATTTGATCAAGAAAATAAGTAGTATCAGATACTGATAACAGCATGGACCTACTAAGGATAGCTAGATTCTAGACATCTTCTCTAAAATGACTTAATCTTTTTTGGAGGGTGAGGGTGGGAGTAGTACAGAGAACTGAACTCAGGGCCTCTTAAGCCATAACCCTCAGTCCTTTTTCTTTCAGTTTATTTTTCAGAGAGGGTTTCTTGATTTTACCTTGACAAGCCTTAGACTGCAGCCCTACCTCCTTCTCCTGAATAGTTAGGATTATAAACATAAGTAACCATACATGGCCTAAAATGGCTTAAACTCTGGCCTGAAAGTTAAGAAGAAGCCACCCATGTAGAGAATATTTGCAACAGAGAGAACAACTCATGGAACGAACAAAGGCAGAAAAGTTGTATGGCTGGAGCCTTGGGTCAAGAGTGAGTCTGTCAAGAGCTAGCTGTCAGATGATAGACCTCAAGGCCAAGGAAGGCAGTTTGCTTTTCATTGTGAGAATGTTTGCTACCAAAACACTGGCATATGTGTCATGAAACAATAAAGTGAACACCTGAGTTCCTATCTTCAGACCTCAAAACCAGCACATTATCAAACTCTCTGACTTCTTCTTTGAAAGGATTTCTAGTCTTTTGGCTACAGTGTAGAAAATAGGGTCTAGGGAAGCAGAAGTAGAAACAGATTAGTAAGTCAAGCAAGTAACTGGAAGCAAGATCTGACATTGGCATGGTAGTAATAAGAATTAAGAAAATGGATACAGGGCTGGGAAGTTGGCTCAGTGGTAGAGCGCTTGCCTCGCATGCATGAGGCCCTGGGTTCGATTCCTCAGCACCACATAAGCAGAAAAAAAAGCCGGAAGTGGCGCTGTGGCTCAAGTGGTAGCGCGCTAGCCTTGAGCTGAAGAGCTGAGGGACAGCGCCCAGGCCCAGAGTTCAGGCCCCATGACTGGACCCAAAAAAAAAAAAAGAAAATGGATACAGATTGGGTGGTGAAAATGAAACTTGTGAATAATATGAAATGGTATGAGGAAATGAAAATCCAAGGTGAAGCTGGGTACTGGTGGCTCATGCCTAAAAATCCTAGCTACTCAGAAGGCTAACAGCTGAGGATCATGTATGGTTCAAACCGAGCTGAACAAAAAAAATCCACAAGACTTCATCTGTGATTAACCAACACAATGTTGTGCCAGAGGTATGGCTCAGGTAGTAAAGTACCAGCTGTAAACAAGCAAGCCAAGTAAGCTTATAGGTCCTGAGTTCTAGTCCTAGTATTGATACATACAGAGAGAGAGAGAGGAACCAAGATAGCCCCTCAGTTTTAGGATGTGAGCAAATGGTGATGGACAGTGACTTAAACTAAGCTGGGGACCACAGAATGTGAGTAGAAAAATGAGTAAGAAGGGCCAGGGCATGGGTCAGAGCTTGCATGAATAGCCTGCTTTCCTTTTGGCAGTGGGAAGAACAGCACCGAGGACGGAGCTGTGAGGATTTCCAGAACTGGAAACGTACCAATGACCCAGAATACCAGGCCCAAGGCCTAGCAATGTATCTTCAAGAAAATGGTATTGGTAAGGCTATCCTACTTGGTTTATCTGCTCAGTAGTCTTCTCTGTCAAGACCTCCAATGGCCTTAATGTTACAGTGGCTGCTGTAGCCTAGATCTCTTATCCCTTGCAGACTGCCCCAAGTGCAAGTTCTCATATGCACTGGCCCGAGGAGGCTGCATGCACTTTCACTGTACCCAGTGTCGCCACCAGTTCTGCAGTGGCTGCTACAATACTTTCTATGCCAAGAATGTGAGTACAGGAATGGGGAAGGAAGATAATGGTGGGAAGCTGCCGCTGGGTTTGAGACAAAGAGGCCATTTAGGAGTGCCCAGGGGAAGAAGAGAGGAGGTTAGTAAGGATATAAAGTACCACTTTTTGGTCCCTTTTCCCCATTTTTTGGCTTCATACTCTCTAGCTCTCTCCCTACCCTTATGCCCTTCATACAAGGGGTTTCTGAGAGTTCAGGACCCCAAGTTTCCAACTTCCTATCTTTCATTCTGGGTTACCACCAGAAATGTCCAGACCCTAAGTGCAAGGTGAAAAAATCCCTGCATGGCCACCACCCTCGAGACTGCCTCTTTTACTTACGAGATTGGACTGCTGTCCGGCTCCAGAAGCTGCTACAGGTGAGCAGTGACCAGCCCCACTGGCCTTTCAGGTTGCCCAGGAGAGGGAGGCAGGATCTTGGGTGGGAAAGAATGGAAAAGGCTTTATGATAGGAAATACAACAGTGGCTGGATCAAGGGGAACATAATACCTATCTCTACCCTTCCTCAGGACAATAACGTCATGTTTAATACAGAGCCTCCAGCTGGGGCCCGGGCAGTCCCTGGAGGTGAGTGTCTGACCAGCCTCAGATAATGGTGTTTTGGGATCCCACTGTAGGGTGGGTAAAGGGAAGGCTTGGGTCTGGAGTTGTGCCCTTTGGCAAGTTAATAACCTCCTCGGGTCTTGTTTAGTCCTCTATAAAATAGAGGTAAAAATATCTACCTTGCTAATACCTACCTTGCGCTCAGTTATTTACCTAAGATACCATTAAAAGTGATTGCTCTTAATGCTAGGCTACTTCTCACATTCTCCAATGATTATGATTCATTCATTAATTCTTTGGGTATTTAATGAGAACTGCTAGTTGCAGGGCACTGTTAAAGGTTCCCTGAGAGCAACAGACAGGTGTGATGTAGGGTTCTAAGCTACTCTGCTTGTCACCATCTGGAGATACAACTGTTACAGAATAACTGGGACTGTGGCTAAAGTGGAAGAATGCTTACCTAACTGCTTAAGGCCCTGAGCTCAATCCCTAGTACTATAAAAGCTTCAGTTACCATGCAGGAGCTAAAAACCAAGAGTACTTTATCAAAGTGTGGTTATGAGTCAAAAGCCAGCCTGGATAAAAAATAAGGCAGCAAGCTTCCTTATCAAGAGTTGGTCTTCTGCTGAAAACATCTCTTAAGTATCTGTATATACTCAGTGCATAAACCCAGTGCATATATACTGCATATACCCAGGTGGGAGGCTGCCTCCCGTGCTGCATGGATATTCCAGTTCTCCGGGGATTTTATGTCAATTGCCTCCTCCAAATGAAGAGTCCCTTCCTTTCCCTTACTCTTAGGTGGCTGCCGAGTGATGGAGCAAAAAGAGGTTCCCAATGGGCTTAGGGATGAAGCTTGTGGCAAAGAAACTCCACCTGGCTATGCCGGCCTTTGTCAGTAAGTGCCAGCCAGGGCTTACAGAGCATGATGTTGGGAATGGGGGATAGGAGTGGTGAGGGCATGCCCAGGCAGTGAGGTGGGGTCTCTGGGAGTAGTAGGGTCTTGCACAGAGTGGGAGGGAGGGGTTTCTCTGGGCAAGGGCATGAATGGGTAATGGTACATGCTGATTGGCAGTACTTATTAGTACAACAGGTAGGAGTTTGTAGTCCTGTTTGGGTCTAAGAATTGTAGTGGCCCAGACAGGCACTTGGCATACTCAGTTCTGCTCCCTCATCTCCTCAGGTCACACTACAAAGAATATCTTGTGAGCCTCATCAATGCCCACTCATTAGACCCAGCAACTCTGTATGAGGTGGAGGAGCTAGAAATAGCCACTGAACGCTACCTGCATCTGCACCCCCAGCCTTTGGCTGGAGAGGATCCCCCTGCCTACCAAGCACGCTTGTTACAGGTAATGCTTTACCCAGTCTCACCTCTGACCTCACATCCTTAAGAAGTCACCTGTCCTGGCTGGTTTTTGAACTCTAAGCTTCCAACATTCTTATCTTCTCTTGCCTACAGAAGCTGATGGAAGAGGTGCCCTTGGGACGGAGTATTCCCCGAAGGAGGAAGTAGCTGAAGGAAAGGGTCCTGCTCCCTCAGAAATAGCTCCAGCACCAATAAAGAGGCATCTTACTGCCCAGGCTTCTTGGTGGTCCTTCTTCCTGGCCCCACCATTTAGGGGCATCAAGGAAACGGGGTGGGGGATGGGGGGGAGTTGAACAACATTTTGTTGAAAGAGCTCCCTGAAGCCTACTATGGACTTTCTGGATATAGAGCCAGGAAGAAACTGATACCATGGACAGGCAAGGCCTCCCTTGCCAATCCAACCATCTGGCCTGGGCTTCTTCCTTCCCTACTTCTCTTCTTTTATCAAATTCAGCTGGTATTTGAAGTCACCTAAATTGTACCAAGCAAGTACACTATGGGTAAAACACAGACCCACAGATGTACACAGCAATTCAGAGGCTCCAGACTTCAGGAAACTAGTCTTCCAGAGGAAGCAGCAGTGGTACAAACAAGTATATAAGCGGGAGGCAGAGGCAAAGTCCACCTGAAGGGGTCTTTCTGCTAACAAAAAACTGTTACTGTAAGATTCTCCTATGCTGCTTCCCTCTTGTGGCAGCTAATTGCCCTGCAACTCAGATCACGTGATTTCTGGGAAATGTTCCTCCCTGGAGGAGAAATGAAACTTAAGGGTGGAGACTGTAGAAAGGGGTGGAGAGACAGCAGTAGAAGCTTCCTAGGCTGGTTCTGAGCTGAGTTCCGTGGAGTCCTGGGACCGCCTGGAGAGCAGTGCAGGTAAGCAGCCATGGAGGGGAGTCAGCCTGGGATCTAAAGCTAGAAGGGCCAGCCAAACTGGAAATAATAGTAGGGACTCCTGGTACACCTATGCCAGAGGAAGAGGCTTGTGAGTCAGAAAGCTAGCAGTGAGAATAAGAGACTGGTAACAGCCAGTGTTTGAAGTTTTGTAGGAAAAATGGACAGAATCTGATACCAGTTTGTGGAGGAAGGCTCTTTGCCCAGCCTCAAATGACCCTGCTTGTTTTCTTGCCTTTTGGCCCTGCCTACCTCTGCTGAAGCTCCACCCCTGTTTCCAGCTAGCCACCCCACCCCCCACTTGGGGGTGAAAGTATAGGTTATGGTGGTTGTGGGTTGAGGGTTAATGAAGCCTTTGCAGGTGCTTGGGAATCTAGATCTTTCACCAAGAGCAGAACACTATCTCTCATCCCTCACCCCCCAATTCTGAATCATTAAAGACCAATGTGTTAAGATTTCCTTCAAGTGTCATTGCTTGAAAAAGTAAAAAGAAATTTTTAAATAGTTGGTAGTGAATGGGTGCCAGTGGCTTAACTCCTGTAATCCTAGCTACTCAGGAGGCTGAGATCTGAGGATCAAGGTTTGAAGCCAGTCCAAATTGATTAAGTCTGTAAGACTTACCTGCATTAAATTATCAAAAAGCTGGAAATGGACTTGTGGCTTAAATGCTAGCCTTAAGCAAATATTAGCTTGGATAGCATCCAACCCCTGAGTTCAAGCCCCAGAACCAGCATACACACAAGTTGCCATTGGTGTCAGAAATGAAGTTGAATACTAAGATATATTTAGAGCCAAAAGAAGATGGATGGGTGTCTGGGAGCTGTTGCTGAAACTGGCTATTGATTAGGGTCAACAGATGTTCTCTTCCAAATTGCCAGTTTGGGGGGATGGTTTTTGGTCCATCATGGGGCCTGAACTCTGGGTTGGGTGCTGTCCCTCAGCTCTTCAGCTCAAGGTTAGCGCTCTACCACTTGAGCTACAGCACCATTTCTGTTTTTCTGGTGGTTTATTGGAGATTAGAGTCTCATAGACTTTCCTGCCAGGGCTGGCTTTGAATAGTGATCCTCAGATCTCAGCCTCCTGAGCATCTAGGATTACAGATGTGAGCCACCAGATAAACTGCCAGTTCTAATGTTTCCTCTTATTTCTCAGGATGGCATCAGGCAGGGCCCGCTGTACCCGAAAGCTTCGGAACTGGGTGGTGGAGCAAGTGGAGAGTGGGAAGTTCCCAGGGGTATGTTGGGATGATGCAGCTAAAACAATGTTCCGGATTCCCTGGAAGCATGCAGGCAAGCAGGACTTCCGGGAAGACCAGGATGCTGCCTTCTTCAAGGTAACAGGGCCTGGAAACAACCATCCCCTCCAAGATGTGGATTTGAGATACTGGGCAGATTGGAAAGTAGAACCAGCTGTCCTTTGCAGAGCCCACCTTAAAAAATTATTGCTGGAGCCAGGCGCCAATGGCTCACACCTGTAATTCTAGCTACTCAGGAGGCTGAGATCTGAGGATCACGGTTCAAAGCCAGCCCAGGCCGGAAAGTCCGTGAGACCCTTTTCTCCAATTAACCATCAGAAAACAGAAAGTGACACTGGGGGACTGGGAAGGTGGCTCAGTGATAGAGTGCTTGTCTTGCATGCATGAGGTCCTGGATTTGATTCCTCAGTACCACATAAGCAGAAAAAGCTGGAAGTGGTGTTATGGTTCAAGTGGTAGAGTGCTAACCTTGAGTTGAAGAGCTCAGGGACAGTGTCCAGGCCCTGAGTTCAAGCCCCATGACCGACCCCCAAAAAAAAATTGCTTTGGATTGACTTATGGAATTGTAAGCCTCTTTGTAAAACTATTTAATAATTCTTTTTAATTTTAAAGAGACTGTGAGAGGGGCTGGGAATGTGGCTTAATGGTAGAGTGCTTACCTAGAATGTATGAAGCCCTGGGTTCGATTCCTCAGTAACACATTAAGAAAAGCCAGAAGTGGCACTGTGGCTCAAGTGGTAGAGTGCTAGCCTTGATCAGAAGAATCTCAGGGACAATGTCAATGCCCAAGACTGGCAAAAAAAAAAAAAAAAAAAAAAAAAAAGCACAAACCCAGCATAAGCTCATCTTAGCCTCAGCCTGTGCAGGTGCTTCACAGATGTGAAGCCAGTTCTACTGGAAGGACAACTGGGATGCTACGCAACACTGCTTCTTCTTTGCTTTCTGTCTTAACTAGGCCTGGGCAAAATTTAAGGGAAAGGACAAGGAGGGAGACATTGGAGGCCCTGCTGTATGGAAGACTCGTCTGCGTTGTGCCCTCAACAAGAGTCCTGAATTTAAAGAGGTTCCTGAGAGAAGCCATTTGGATGTGGCTGAGCCCTATAAAGTGTACCGGCTGCTGCCACCAGGAACCCTCCCTGGTGAGTATCCCCTAGCCCAGCTGTTCCAAGACCCAGGAACTGGGATGAAGGATGGAGATAGCTGCCTTCTGGGAGAGTGGCAGGACACCCCCCGAGTGTTCCGTTTTGTCCTTGCCTGTGGGGAGCTGCTACCCAGGTTTCCTTCCCTAACCCTGTCCATCCTTTCATGGCCCTTCCATCTCCTCTCTTTCCTGTATAAGCCACTCACCTTGCTCTTCCTCCAACAATTCCACAGCCCAGCCAGGAACCAAGAAATCAAAACTATGCCACAGTTCTGTGTCTTCAGAGAAGCAGGAGGATACTGGCAAGAATGGCACAGACAGTCACTCCTATCTTCAGGATCCTGTCAATACTGTGAGCTGGGGAGGACACTGGTGGGTCTTATGGTGGGACAGTAACCAGAGTGAGAGGTGAGTGGTAACACACACTGTCTATAGGATGTGAGGGCTAATGGAGCTGCAAGCCACTCAGACAGTGGGAGTAGTGGCAGCATCGCCAGCAACAGCAGTAGCAGCAACAGCAGCAGCAGCAACAGCAGCAGCAGCAGCAGAAGCAGTAGTACTGAACCACAGGAAGGTACTGCCTCTCAGCCCTGTGTTTCCCCTGTATAGCACTCTCTGACCAACCCTGAGTACCCTTGCCTCCCTTCCAGGTGTAGACAATACCTTACTTCTTGGAGAGGCCACCTTTCTTGAGGAACCAATGTCTGTGGAGCATCAGCTCCCTCTGGACTCAGGTATTTGGTCTCTCTGACTCTTTCCTGCCTCCTCTTTCCCTGCTTCTCCTAGCAATGTCACCCTTCATATTGTATTTCTTGGACATCCACGTTGAGACTATTAATCCATGTTGAGAATATTAATTCATGCAAATAAGGCCCAGTCTCTGGGACTTTTTTTTTTTTAAACTGCAAGGCCATGGATATTAAGCCTTGATACAGATAAATCCATTTGTTAAAAGCTGGGTGCTGGTGGCTCACACTTGTAATTCTAGCTACTCAGGAGGCGGAGATCCCAGGATTGCAGTTTGAAGCCAGCCCGGGCAGGAAAGTTTGTGAGATTGTTATCTCCACTAAACTACAAAAAAAAAAAAAAAAAAAGCCAGAAGTAGAGCTGTGGCTCAAGTGGTAGAGTGCTAGCCTTGAGCAAAAGGAAGCACAGGGACCATGCACAGGCCCTGAGTTCAAGCTCAAGGACCAATACACACACAAATCCAAATGTTAGGTGACAAGAAAGCCTTAACTAGGGGCTGGGAAGGTGGCTCAATGGTAGGGCGCCTGCCTTGCATGCCTGAGGCCCTGGGTTCGATTCCTCAGCACCACATAAGCAAAAAGAAAAAAGCCAGAAGTGTTGCTGTGGCTCGGGACAGCGCCCAGGCCCAGAGTTCAGGCCCCACGACCGGACCCAAAAAAAAATTAAAAGAAAAAAAAGAGCCTTAACTAGAAAGCCCTTGCTGGTGATGACATGGGGGATAAGTAAGAGGAGAGGAAGGAAGGTATAACTACTGCCTCAGCCCCAGGGCCTTTGTCTTTACCAGTCATTCCTTGGTTTCCCCTCTGGGCCTTTTTTCTCACTATGGCACAATGAGGATTTTGGAACCCAGGGAACTCCACCTCATTTTCCTAAAGCCTTTGCTGGCCAGGTGTACCCCTGGGAAGAAGGGCCTGCAGGCAGCCTTCACCCTTGTCCAGCACCTGGCAAAGTTGGGCTTTTCTCTCCCTAGACTACTCGCTGCTGCTCACCTTCATCTACTGTGGGCATGTGGTGGGTGAGGTACAGGTGCGAAGCCTGGACTGCCGCCTTGTGGCTGAGCCCTTCGACTCTGAAAGCAACATGGAGCAGGTGGTATTTCCCAAGCCCAGTGATCAGCTGGAATCTGCCCAGCACCTGCTGAATCAGCTTAAGAAAGGCATCCTGGTAGCCAGCAACTCCAAAGGTCTCTTTGTGAAGCGCCTTTGCCCCATCTCTGTCTCCTGGTATGCACCCCAGGACCCACCTGGACCAGGTCCACATCTGCTGCCCAGCAACAAGTGTGTGATGCTTTTCCAAACTGACTGCTTCTGCAGAGGTAAGGCTGCTCCAGCTGGACACCCAAGCCCTTTGCCCCTACCTTTTAGTACCCTCTAGACCTCACTTGGCAGGTCCTACCACCACCCTGCCCGCCAGCCCCCATATCTTTGTGTGGTACACATCCTGTGTGGACTATGCCCAGCCCTGGCTGCTCTCTTTAGCCAAGGACACAGAAGATAGGATCAGGTGGCATCTAACACAAGAGTGGCATACTTCAGAGCCAGGTGCTGATGGTTCACACCCATAATCCTGGCTACTCAAGAGGCTAAGATCTGAGGATTGCAGTTCAAAGCCAGCACAGGCAAGAAAGCCTGTGAGACTTTTATCTCCAATTAAGCACCAGAAAGCCAGAAATGGAGCTGTGGCTCAAGTGACAGAGTGCTGTCCTTGAGCACAAAAACTCAGTGACAGCACCTAGGCCCTTACTTCAAGCCCCACAACCTACAGGGAAAAAAAAAAAAAGTGACACACTTCACAGAGCTTCTTTACAATGAAGCACAGAGTATGTGAATGTGTACAGCCCAGTTAGCACAGAGATCCCGAGCCTTGTGGCCATGTGCATTATGCCATGTACAGGTGTTCCAGAGACGCTGATGCTCTCATGTTAGGAGGGTATGAGCAAGCAAGGAAGGGATAACCACCAGGGCTGCTGCCTTTGAGGACTTGAAACTCCCCAGAAGACAGTTTTTCAGGTCATAAAAAATAATCTACCTTCAGTGCTTTTTGAGGAAGGGACATCCTATCCTATTTATACATGGTTGAGTAGCAGCTTAGTTCCCAGCATTTCTCCTTACCCCATACCTCCTGCTGTGGCCTTGGTCTCTATATGACCCTACTCTGCCTCTTTCTTTCCATCATAGATTCTTGGATATTTATTAACTTCTTGCCTAGGACCCTAATTTTTTTTTTCTAACCCTTGACCCTTTTGTTTGAAAGACTTGGACAGGTACTTCCGTGGTGAAGGCCCCAGACCCAAGTTCCAGGTAACACTGCATTTCTGGGAGGAGAGCCATACCTCACAGGATCTTATCACAGTGCAAGTAAGTTCTGAGCAGGGGAAGGGAAAATGGTACCTCAGAGGAGGAGACACTGAGAGGAAGGAGCCACTGTGAGTTACATCTGCCTCTGTTGTGTTCACTGAATCCTATTCTTCACCTCTTCTGGCACAGATGGAGCAGGCATTTGCTCGGCATCTCGTAGAAAAGGCTACAGAGGAGCAGATAGCCGCTCAGTTCCTGAAGAAGAGCCTGGAGACCCACCTGCCACCTCACCTTCCTGTTCTTCCTGGCTCCTTTGAAATAATTTGTTCTTCACACTGTTGTTCTGCCTCCCTTTGTGATGGCTCTCACAGCTGTCTGTGAGTTAGATCCTTGGATTCCTTATGTACCTGGCTGGTGGAGAACTCAAGGATAGTTTCTGTCCTTTAAGAAAGAAAGAGAGGGAGAAGCTGGACGCCAGTGGCTCAAGCCTGTAATCCTAGCTACAGAGGAGGCTGAGATCTGAGGATTGTGGTTCAAAGCCAGCCCAGCAGGAAAGTCTCTGAGACTATTATCTCCAATAAACCACCAGAAAACCGGAAATAGTGCTGTGGCTCAAGTGGTAGAGTGCTCACCTTGAGCTAAAGAGCTGAGGGACGGTGCACAAGCCTAGAGTTCAAGCCCCACGACCAACAACAACAAAAAGAAAGAAAAAAGAAGAAAGAAAGAAAAAGAAAGAAGAAAGAAAGAGAAAGAAAAGAGAGAAAGTGAGAGATCCTTTTCTGGTTTATAATCATGACTGGGTTCTCATGCGCTTGTGTGACATGTGCTTCCTCAAACCTTGTTATGATGTGGGCACATTACCCACCTGACATTAAAAAAAAAATAGAAGAGAGATAAACCTTTTGTCTCTAAGGAACTGGGGCCAAATGGTGTAAACTGAGGGCAGCTTTCCCTCTTTCCCCAACCCTCCAACTCTAAAGCCAAGCACTTTATATTTGGTCCTATGTCCTAAGAATTTAAAATAAACTTCTGTTAAAAGAGTAATCTGCATTTGATTTTCTGAGAAAGGAAGTTAGCAGGACATAGTAGAGATGTAAACTTAGGAGCCAGGCTCTGGGATTCTCTTCTTGCTGATATCTCTAGTCCCCTTCAGTCTCTTCTACCCACAGGTTCTAGCTGGGACACTGTTCATCTGACACTGTCAGAAATGTACCTTCTAGACAATCAAAGAGCTAAGCACTTTAACTACCAACCTCATGTAGCCAGATTTTCACCTGAATACTACCGTTCTTTGCTAGAGACCTCAGCTTTGGGGCTCAACAGAAGAGAGGCTGTGCACCCCTCCCACCCCCACGTCCTGGGGAACTACATGAAGAAGACACTTGAGACTGACCTGAAACTGTGGTCTAGACACCCTGGGCCATAAAGGGGAGCAAAAACCAAGACTTGCCAAGCCTTCTGTAACTGCTGCTTCTGCCTCTGAAGTGACATAACAGGCCCTAGTGAACTGTCACCTGACAGAATAGTCCCTAATGGGATCCTTCATTTCACCTGAACTTCATAAAAGAAGCTATAGATTGCCATGTCACCACACCCTGTGTACCAAGAGGGCTCCAAATTGGCTGACACTCCACTCTTTTTTTTGGGGGGGGGGGGGCGGGGGGGGGTCCAGTCGTGGGGCCTGAACTCTGAGCCTGGGTGCTGTCCCTCAGCTCTTCAGCTCAAGGCTAGCACTCTACCACTTGAGCCACAGCACCACTTTTGGCTTTTTTCTTTTTGCTTCTGTGGGCCTCATGCATGCAAGGCAAGTGCTCTACCACTGAGCCACCTTCCCAGCCCTGACAATCCACTCTAACCCATTGTTTCTTTTCTTCCTTCCTTCTGTCCTTCCTTCCATCCTTCCTTCTGTCCTTCCTTCCATCCTTCCTTCCGTCCTTCCTTCCTTCCTTCCTCCCTCCCTCCCTCCCTCCCTTCCTTCCTTCCTTCCTTTCCAGGCTTGGGGCTTGAACTCGGATTAGGCACTATCCCTCAGCTCTTCAGCTCAAGGCAATTTGAGCCACAGCACCACTTCCGGTTTTCCAGTGGTTTATTGGAGATAAGAGTCTCACGGAGTTTCCTGCCTGGGCTGGCTTTGAACCGTGATCCTCAGATCTCAGCCTCCTAAGTAGCTAGGATTACAGGCATGAGCCACCGGCACCCGGCTTGTCACATTATTCTTATAAGCCTTCAGTTTCACCTATCTGACCAAGTCTAAATACCTAAATCCACTTACGTTCTTGTTATCTTACATGACTAGCTCCAGTGCTCCCTTTGTGCTTTGCTTCTCTATATCTTCTCTTTCCTTCAGTTTGTTCCTCATCCTGCTGGGAAGCCAAGCTCCTAAATAAGCAACTGCTTGAGCATCAAGGAAAAGATGTTCAGTATACAATTGCCTTTGGGTCCTCAATTACTTGGACTTTTTTTTTTCTGGTCATGGGGGTTGAACTCTGAGCCTGGGCACTGTCCCTCAGCTCTTCAGCTCAAGGCTAGAGTTCTGTTACTAGAGTTACAGTGCCACTTCCAGTTTTCTGGTGGTTAATGGAGATAAGAGTGTCATGGACTTTGCTGCCCAGGCTGGCTTTGAACTGGGATCCTCAGCCTCCTGAGCAGCTAGGATTATAGGCATGAGCCACCAGTGCTTGGCTTTTTTTGTCTGGGGGGGAGCAGTCTGTTCTGAATTAGTTTCTTGTCTTTCATTCCATGTCTTTACATCTAAGCCACCATCAAATTGTTATTAGCTGGACTCCTATCCTATAATCCTAGCTACTTTTAAGGTTGAGAACTGAGGATCTAAGTTTGAACCTGGCTGAGGTAGAAAAGTCCAAGAGACTGTATCTCCAATTATTTTCTCAATTAGCCAGCAAAAAGTCAGGCTGGGGGCACAGTTCAAGATGTCAGGCATGAGCAGGAAAGCTAGGCATGCAAGACCCTGCGTTCAAAACAGCCTTCCCCCCAAAAAAACAAGATTCCACTTTCAAAAGCTCTCAAACTAAAAGGTCCAGTTATTTGTAAATATATCCATATGACTTAATTTAAAGAAAGAATAATTTGAGACAATGTGTGAAATCTTAGTTACTCAAGTGGCACAAGTAGGGATTGTAGTCTGAGGCTAGCCTGTCCTAAAGCTAGAGATCCTATCTGAAAACAAACTAATGCAGGCTGGGGACTTAAATCAATGGTTCAAGTTGTAGCGTGCCTAGCCTAATTAAGTACATGCAATCCCAAATTCAATCTCCAATATGGCCAAAGAGAATGACTGAGATTAATAGGTTTTATGGGCCAATAAGTGTATATTGCAGGCTGGGAATGTGGCTTAGAGGTAGAGTGCTTGCCTAGCATGCATGAAGCCCTGGGTCCAATTCCTCAGTACCATATTAACAGAAAAAGCCAGAAGTGGCACTGTGGTTCAAGTGGTAGAGTGCTGGCCTTGAGCAAAAAAAGCTCAGGGACAGTGCCCAGGCCTTGTGTTCAAGCCTCAGGACTGGCAAAAAAAAAGTGTATATTGCTTTTATTTGGGGGGTGGGGCCATGGGGGGTGATGGGAAAGGTATTACTAGGGCTTGAATTCAGGGCCTCATGCTATCGCTTAGCTTTTTTTTTTTTCCCTCCAGGCTAGTGTTTGAGCCTCAGCTCCACTTCCATATAAGAGTGTCACAGACTTTTCTGCTCGGGCTGGCTTTGAACCATGATCTTCAGATCCCATCCTTCTGAGTAACTAAAATTGTATTATGAGCCACCAGCACTTGGCTTTTTTTTTTTTTTTTTAAAGAGTTTCATCACATAGCTCAGGTCTTGAACTTTCCATCCTCTTGCCTCAGTGCTGGGATTACAGTTGTTCACCACAATGCCTAGTGTAAAATCTAAAACTTACTTCAGCCAGATCACATTCAACTCAAAAGAACTAGATGGAACATGTCTCCAAGCTAAGTTGTTCAAAATTTAAGTTATGAAACTGACTTCTTCATTAACCTGTGGCAACTCAAAGGCCTTCTCAGTCTAGCCTGGTCCAATTTAGTGGAAAAGGCAGGTGTATGCACCAGCCCGGCACCTCCCTCCCTGACATTTCGGCACCTTCGGCAGGGCCACTGCAATTGCTCCCGCCATGACCCAACCTCTGCCGCCTGTTGAGACACTTAGTTGCCAGTCTTGGCGCCAGGGAGAGGCTAGGGGTGCTCCCCGCTCATTGGTCAGTGGAAAGCTTCGGACAAGACCTTGCTACAATGGCCGGAGAACGAAAATCCATTGGCTAGGACCATTCAAAATGCGCCCACTCACCACGCGCAACGTTCTTCTGATTGGTTCACTGCCTGTCTCCAAGACACCGGGGTGACTTGACCTCTGGAACCCTCGCCCTCCGCCAACTTGTCTCCCCATTGGCTGTCGTGGCGCACGAGAACTGAACAGTAAGTTCCAGAGCCTGCCGCGGGACGCCAGTCGTGTGCCGGGAAGGCGACCCTGCTGCGTGCGTGAGCCAGACCTCGTGTGAGGCTGGCGGACGAAGGCCTGCTGTGGAAGACGCCGCGCTCTGAGACCTGCTCTGCAACCCAGCTCAGGCCTCGCCGCGGAGTTCTTCATCTCCATCCTTGGAAGCCAGCCCTATACAGTGCAGTAAGTTCTACTCGATGTGCAATCCTAACGACGTGTGATACCACTGGGGGCTGGCAAAGAGGACTGTCCCAACTCTGGCTTTTCTGTTCAGTCATCCCCTCAATGTAACTACCAGTTCTTGACCACCTCGTTAACTGCGCTTTCGTGGGTCCACTCACTGTGCCACCCGCCCAAATGCTTACTTCTCTTTCTTCTCATGCCCCTCAAGAATTTCAGTTGAGAGCCGGACGGAGGAGTGTTGGAGACTGAATTCCGAAGGAAAATGTTCTATTATCCCAACGTGCTTCAGCGCCATACCGGCTGCTTCTCCACCATCTGGTAAGGTCTGAGCCTGATAGGTGCAAACCTATCTCGCACTCCAAACCCTCCTCCCAGCTGGGTGCCCTGAGCTCACGCCTGTAATCCTAGTTAGTCAGGAAATCCTAGCTACTGAGGATCGAGATTAAAAGCCAGCCCAGGCAGAAAGGTCTGTGAGACTCTACTTTCCAATTAACCACCAAAAAGCTGGAATCAGAGCTGTGGCTCAAGTGGTAGAGTCTCAACCTAGAGAGGGAAAAGCTATGGGACAGGACCCAGGGTTCAACCCTCAGCACCAGCACACATGAACACGTGCATACACACAAACCACCTCATCTTACCCACTCCAGGCTGGCAGCGACGCGTGGCAGCCGGTTGGTGAAGCGCGAATACCTGAAGGTGAACGTGGTGAAGACGTGGTAAGACCCAGAACAGTAGAGAAAGGAAACCTAGTGGAGGAGCAAAGGGTGGGAAAGGGGACCAGGAAAGGTGAAAAGGGTGGGGGGGGGGGCAGGAAAGGGGAGAGGGCAAAAAGAGGTGGGAGTAGTAGGGAAGGTGGGGGCGGGAAAGGTGAGAGGGTAAAAAAAGGTGGGGGTGGGAAAAGCAAGGGGGCGGGTGGCAGGAAACGTGGGGGGGAGGGAAAGATGAGGGGGCAGTGGAAATGTGGGGGAGTGGGGGAAAGGGTGGGGGCGGGGCTAGTCTGTGGGGGCTGTTCTCGGTGCAGCAGTAATCACTGTTCTCTCAGCCAGGAAATCCTCGATTACGTATTGGTCCGAGTTCAACCCCCAATGCCTGGCCTGCCACGACCCCGCTTCTCGCTGTATCTCTCGGCCCAGCTGCAGATTGGCGTGATCCGGGTCTACTTCCAACAATGCCAGTACCTCGTGGGTAAGGCTGGGAATCCTACAGATGGGGGAGGGCTGAACAGCTGGCAGGGTAGGCGGGTTCTCTACCTTGCTCTTCCTGCTTACAGAGGACATCCAGCACACACTGGAGCGCCTGCACCGGGCCCAGATGCAGATCCGCATTGATATGGTAGACACAGACCTGTAAGTGGATACTGACCTATTGTGGACACTTATCTGGGACTAGAATGGTTCAGACTTTGATGGAGCACTTCCATGTTTGGTTCAACTTCTACCCACATTTTCTTCCAGACCCAGCCTGCTGCTTCCCAACTGCCTGGCCATGATGGAGACCCTAGAAGATGCTCCGGATCCCTTTTTTGGATTGATGTCCGTGGAGCCCAGCCTTCCTAGCCCTTTCAATATTCCTCAGGTAAGGTTTATTCCCCTGGAACATTTCAAAGTTGTAAACTGTAGAAGGGAAGGAGCATACTGTCCTTGTCTTCTGCCCACACTACACATCCACTTCTGGCTTTTTGCTGGTTAACTGGAAATAAGACTCGAAGACTTCTCTTTTTTTGTAGTGGAGCTTGAATTTTGGGCCTGTCCCTCATCTCAACTCAAGGCCAGCACTCTACCACTTGAGCCACAGCACTACTTCTGGTTTTCTATTTTGGTTAATTGGAGATAAGTCTCAGGAACTTCCCTGCCTGGGCTGGCTTTGAACCACAAAACTCTAATCTCAGCCTCCTGAGTAACTGGGATTACAGACATGAGCCATCAACATCTGGCTTTTGCAGGTATTTCTGACTGGGATGGCAATAAACAGATCTTCAGATCTCAAGCCTCCTGGGTAGCAAAGATTAAAGGTGTGTCTCCAGGGCCCAGCAGGTGCTGTCCTTGTGTCAGTCTTATGGGATTCAAGGAAGGGAATCTGCTCTAAGTCCCCCCTAAGGGAGATATGTCAAAGTGCTTCACAGTGGTCCTGTACAGGGAAAGCCTAGGGTATCTGACTAGTCCATAATGGTCACTCTGCGTTCTATTAGTTAGATCCTAGAGAACCTTACAGACCTAGTTCAGATGCTACCCTTTTTCCATGAAGCTTTCATCCCACTCCCAACCAGAACAAAATGCTGTTTGGAAGCAAAGCACTTTCTGAGTCATTGTTTTATCCTTTGTATTGACTTTTTTTTTTTTTTTTTTTTGGTCGGTCGTGGGGCCTGAACTCTGGGCCTGGGCACTCTCCCTCAGTTCTTCAGCTCACTTAAGCCACAGCACCACTTCCAGCTTTTTCTGCTTATGTGGTGGTGAGGAACTGAACCCAGGGCCTCATGCATGCAAGGCAAGCACTCTACCACTGAGCCCCCTTCCCAGCCCTGCATTGACTCTTGTTGGGGCCATATACAACCTTGTCTCCCACTAACCCATCTACTCTTTGCAATCAAGAATCATAGCCAAGCTGGGCACGGTGGCTCAAGCCTGTAATCCTAGCTACTAAGTAGGTTGAGATCTGAGGGTTGAGGTTCAAAGCCAGCCCGGGCAGGAAAGTCTGTGACTCTTATCTCCAATTAACCACCAGAAAACTGGAAGTGGTGCTGTACCTCAAGTGGTAGAGTGCTTGCTTTGAGCTGGAGAGCTCAGGGACAGTGCCCAGGCCCAGAGTTCAAGCCCCAGGACCAACCAAAAAAAAAAAAAAAAAATTGTAGCCAGAGCCAGGTGCTGGTGGCTCATGCCTGTAAATCCTAGCTTCTTTTTTTTTTTTTTTTGGGGTCCGGTCATGGGGCCTGAACTCTGGGCCTGGGCGCTGTCCCTCAGCTCTTCAGCTCAAGGCTAGTGCTCTACCACTTGAGCCACAGTGCCACTTCCAGCTTTTTGCTTATGTGGTGCTAAGGAATTGAACTCTCAGGGCCTCAGGCATGCAAGGCAAGCGCTCTACCACTGAGCTACCTTCCCAGCCCAATCCTAGCTTCTTGGAAGGCTGAGATCTGAGGATTACGTTTAAAACCAGTCCAGGCAGGAAAGTCCATGAGACTTTTTAATCTCTAATTAACCACCAGAAAACCAGAAGTAGCACTGTGGAAACAAAATGAGTGCTAGCCTTGAGCAAAAAAACTCAAGGACAGCACCCAGGCCCTGAGTTCAAGCCCCATGATATAAAAACAAAACAAAGCAAAACAAAAAAAAATTAGAGTGCCTACTTGGGGATTAGTGAGAGCAGTTTCAGGGCTTATTGCATGCTAATGTCAATGCCACAAGAATTGGGTATAAGTAAGTTGGGCACTGGTAGCTCATGCCTGTAATCCTAGCTACTCAGAAGGCTGAGATATAAGGATTGTGGTTCAAAGTCAGCCCAGGCAAGGAAAGTCCATGAGACTCTTATCTCCAATTAACCACCAGAAAACCAGAAGTGGCGCTGTGGCTCAAGTGGTAGAGCTAAAGAGCGCAGGGACAACATGCTGGCCCAGAGTTCAAGCCTCATGACCGTCCCCCCCCGCAAAAAAAAAAAAAATTGGGTCTAAGACTGGGTATGCAGCTCAGTGGCAAAGCATGTGCTTAGCACCCATGAGCCTCTGGATTCAATTCCCTGCAGCACAACAACATAAATGAATAGTGTAAAAATTACCATGTCACTATGTTTTGATTTGTTTTTAATTGGTCGTGGGGCCTGAACTCAGCCTGGGCACTGTCCCTCATCTCTTCAGCTTAAAGCTAGCACTCTACCACTTGAGCCATTGCACCACTTGAGCCATAGCGCCACTTCCGGTTTTTTCTGCTTATGTGGTGCTGAGAAATTGAACCCAGGGCCTCATGCATGCAAGGCAAGCTCTCTACCACTGAGCCACCTTCCCAGCCCCTCTGTTGTGTTTTGAAAATGGGAAAGTAGAAGGCTAATGGTGAAACTTTTCTTTTGATCCCAAACTCTTTTCAAAGATTCGACATCTTTTAGAGTCTAAAACTCCAGAGAGAGTTCCTGAGGAGATCCCTCCTGTAGAACTTATGAAGCACAGGAAGCCAGGTTGGTAAAAACTTTTTTTGGTGAGACACAGGAAGCCTCAGAGCTGAAGAAATGATGGTTTTGAGCTTAAGAGTCAGGCCTTGCTTTGTTGAATGCAACTCCTTTGTACAACTACTTAATTCTTTTTATTTTTTGTCAGTCATGGGGCCTGAACTCGGCCTGGGCGCTGGCCCTCAGCTCTTCAGCTCAAGGCTAGCCCTCTACCACTTGAGCCATAGCACAACTTCCAGCTTTTTCTGCTTATGTGATGCTGAGCAATTGAACCCAGGGCCTCATTCATGCAAGGCAAGCACTCTACCACTGAGCCACCTTCCCAGCCCCATACTACTTCTTAAGAAAATGAGAAGAAAAGCGGGGTGCCGGTGGCTCACGCCTATAATCCTAGCTACTCAGGAGGCTGAGATCTGAGGATTGCAGTTCAAAGCCAGCTCGGGCAGGAAACTTCGTGAAACTCTTATCTCCAATAAACCACCAGAAAAACTGGAAGTGGCACTGTAGCTCAAGTGGTAGAGTGCTAGCCTTGAGCTGAAGAGCTGAGGGACAGCGCCCCGGCCCAGAGTTCAAGGCCCATGACCGACAAAAAAAAAAAAAAGAAAAAAGAAAGAAAATGAGAAGAAAAAAAGTCAGGCCCTATGAGGGACATTGTGTAACTTTATCATTGCCTTAAGAGTCCTATGAAATCAAAGCTGGGAATGTAGCTTAGTAGAGTGGTTGCCTAGCATGCACAAAGCCCTGAGTTTGATTCTTCAGTACCATATAAACAGAAAAGGCCTGAAGTGGCACTGTGGCTGAAGTGGTAGAGTACTAGCCTTGAGCAAAAGAAGCTCAGGGCCTGAGTTCAAGCCTGGCAAAAATAAATAAATAAAAAATGGTCCTATGAGATCAAAATTCAGTGGTTAAGAAATACACATGGATTGGATACTGGTGGCTCATGCCTTCAATCCTAGCTTCACAGGAAACAAAGATCTGAGGATTGCAGTTCAAAGAAAATTCATTGAGACTGTCATTCCCAGTTAACTACTAAAAAGCTGGAAGCAGAGGTATGGCCCAGGTGGTAAAGCACCAGCCTTTATTGGAAAAGGCTAAGGAACAGGGCCCAGGTCCTGAGTTCAAGTCCCAGCACTTGCCAAAAAAAAAAAAAAAAGGAATCAGACACTTGGAGTCAGGCTGTCAGTGACTGGCCTGGATAGCACTGAGTCTACATGAGTGTGGGAACCTGAGAAGATGAAAGAGGGTACTATGACTTTCCTTTCCCTCCAGAAAAGACCTTGGTCACTGTGGTATCTCCTGAGTCCATCACCCTGAAGGAGGTGGAACCCATACGCATACTACAAATTGAGGTATGTTGTCTCCTTTCATAGTTTCAGGTTCAGTCCCTTGCATCAGCTTTTCTCAGTTCTACTTTTAATCCCATTTTCCTCACTCCCTATCCCTGGCCTTTGAACACCCAATAGACATCCCTTGGACATGTCTCTTGGATCCACTCACTTATCTTAGAAATGGACTTGGGCTTCTCACTTTTCCTTTTCCCACAGGGTGAACAGGATCTCCCAGAGGTCAGCCACCAGGACTTGGAGCTGCTCATTGCAGAGGAAGATGAAGCGATCTTGCTAGAGGAACGTCGGCAAGGCAGGCTTCTCCATTAGCATAGGGCCTACTAATGGATAGCTAAGACCCTGCACAGCCTGGGATCGGGCAGTGCTTCTTTCTCTTTTCTTCTGCCCCTGAATTCTGATCCTCTCTCTACAGAATCCAAAGAAGTGCCCCGGATGCTGGAGGGTGACACTATAGTACCCTCACTCTCACCTCCAGTTCCTATGCAGTAAGTGTAGGAATCCCTGGAATAAGTATGGAGTAACCCCCATACCTAGAGGAAGGTTTCCTGCCTAGTTTTCCCAATATTATACATCATTAATATTATTCCTAATTTTTCCTATTTCCTTTCAGGGTAGAAGGGTTAGAAGAGCTAGTTCCAGGCCAGGTCTTGGGCCCTGAAGAGCCAAAGCCAATAGGCTGGGAGCCTAGAGTCCTACTTCCAGGTAAGTGTCTACCCTGCCTGAAGGCCTTCCTAGGAACACCTGCACAGCTGCTGCAGACAAAGGCCAGATATCCCAATCTGCTAAAGGGAACACTCTAGCTTCTTGTCCTAGAGGCTGCCAAGAGTGAAAGGCAGCTGGGTACTTCTAGCTCACACCTGTAGTCTTAGCTACTTAGCTACTGGAGGGTGGCAGCTTGAAGCCAGCGCAGGAAAAGTCCCAAGAGACTCCAAGAAGTCAGGCAAGAGATGTTGCTCAAGTGGTAGAGCATCAGCAAGCCAAGTTGAGTGCAAGGCCCCAAGCCCAGTACCAAGAAAAAGAAACAGTGAATAGGCTTGTGGGACAGAGCCCTTTTGACTACTATTGCAGAGGTGACGCCCCCACAGGAGTTGCATCTGCCAGCTGCACCTAGCCCAAAGGTGAGTATTCTTGCTGAGCCTCTTCCTTTCTGTCCTCCCCTCTCAAAGCTATTAGCCCCATGGCCAGGGCCAGCGCTACCTTACATGGTATGTTTGTGCACACCAGTAAAAAGTGCCCTTTTCTGTTCCTCACGGTGTATGGCCTTCCTTCCCAAGTGGGAACCCTCTTACAAGTAAGGTATGACCTGCACCAAGTGCATGTTCTGGCCCAAGCTCTTTCCCCAGGTACCCCCTAGTGTGGGGCCTTTTTTTTTTTTAAACCACGCCAAGAGGATCAGGAGTGTGGCTAGCTTTGCCTCCACCTCCCCTCCTCTCTGCAGAGGAAGGCTCCATCTCCTGGGGGGCCACCTGCTCGCCGTCGCCGCCGCCAGTTACTGTTCTGGGACAAGGAGACTCAGATCTCCCGGGAGCAATTCCAGGAACAACTGCAAACCAGAGCTCACTGCTGGGAGTGTGTGAGTGCAACCCAGGCTCTTCCTGGGGAAAGGACTCAGGACAGGCTGGACCTTCTGAACTCCAATGGGAGTGGAGGGGGGGGGGGAGAGGAAGAAACAAAGAATTTAATGGGGATTAAACAACAACAAAAAACACTATTTTCTAGAGATTGCTTGTGTGTGTAGGGTTGCATACACATGCATGTACAAAGCAGAGGAGAAGGGCCAAGGTTACCTTCCTTCTAAAAGGGCTTCTGACCTCCCATCACACAGCCAAAGGTACAGCCTCCCAAGAGGATGACCAGGAGCCCTGCAGAGCTGTTCAGAACCCCGACTCTCTGTAAGAAGGATAGATGGTGGGAGATGGGCACATAAAATCTTCAGAACCAAGCTTTATTTTTTACTCTTGTTGTTTCTTATGACTCAAACTTCATCCCTTTATCCTCAGCTGCCTGGCTACCTCCAGAGTTACTGTCTCTCTGGACCCACTGTGCCCGGGTACCCCCCAGAATACAGAGGCCACCTACAGAGGTTGAAGAGGAACCTGATGTGGAAGGCAAAAAGGCTGAAACTCCAAGTGATATTGAGGTAACTGCACCTGCATTGTGTCCTGTGAATCCCCAAAGCTTTGCTTTGCCAGGGCTCCAGCTATCTTTTCTTGCTGCCTATCAACCAACAGTAAAAGCTCAGGGTCTCATGTCCCATCAAGTGGCCTAAGCCCCAGATGCTTGGGGCTCAGTTCTTGATCTCCCACCCACAGGTCCTAAGAGAAGCCCAGGAGCCCAGTGGGCCCCTCATGTTGTCTTCAGGTAAGCACTTGGAAAAGGGGATGATGGGAGACAACCACTGCCACAAGAAACTAGTACTCCAGCTGGTGTGAAGCTGTTTCTGTCAGAAATGGGGGGGAAACGTAACACAAGGTAGTGTTTGTGTATGTATGTGTAGGGTACTAAGGTTTGAACTCAGGATCTCATGCTTGCTAGGCAGGCAGTCTAATACTGAGCCATTCCTCAGCCCTTTATTTTTTCAAGTCCTGGGACTTGAACTTAAGAACTTTATTGTTCGAAGCTAGTCCTCTAAAACTTCTGGCCTTTTTTTGGTGGTTAACAGTTAACCACCCTGGCCTTTCCTGCTGGGCTAGCTCCAAATTGATCCCCAGATAGCTCAGCTTCCTGAGTAGCTAGGATTAAAGGCTTGAGCCATCTATCCCCGACTTGTTTTGGTTATTTTTGAGGTAAGGGTCTTCCTTACATGCATGCCTGGACCATGTGTATTTTTGCTTCCAACCATCACTGGGGTGACAGGCACGTACCACTATACCTAGCTTGTTCCACTGAGACGGAGTTAGACTTTTCTGCCCATGTTGGCTTCCAATGTAAGCCTCCTGATCTCAGTCTCCCAATTAGTTATACTAAAGGGGCTTGGTTGGAGATTGAACCTGGAGCCTTGTGTGCTAGGCCCTCTACCACATTTCCATCTGGGCCACAAGGTCTTGATTGCTTAGATCCAAGAATAAAGACTCTGTCTCAATGTCTTTCTTCAACCCAACAGAGCTTTCCCTAGAAGCAGCTGAAGAGGAGAGGTCTCGTACCAGTCTTGTTCCTCCAGAAGAACGGTGGTAAGTAGCCAGGCTTTGGGTTCAGACTACAGAGCTGGACAGGGGTAGGATCGTTGTGTCCTTCATCAGTGTCACAGTCGCCACTTTCCCTGCTCTGGCTTCCATGTTCTTCAGGGGCTGGACTGAGGCAGAGCAGCCAGAGCCCCCTGCATTGCCGGTGGTGCCTGAACTCCCTGAGATGCTCATGGAATTGCCTTTGGAGCTGCCCCCAGAGCCTGAGCTGCTCACTTTGGGGGCTGTGCACAGGTACCAGGAAAGTGGGTGTGTGTCAATAGGGTGGACCCTAAGGCTGAGGCCCCAGCTAACAGTTCTTGATCCCAATAGGGCAGTGGCACTAGGACTGCAGGCCAACCAGAAATTGGACTTCAGCAGCCTTGTGCCTCCTCTTAGCCCCCGCAAAATGGCTGCCCGGGTCTTCTACCTGCTCCTGGGTAAGTGTGGGCATGAGGGCACACAGGCCAGAGGCCACTACAGGAACTCCCTCCTGTAACCTGTGCTTTCTTCTTTCTTGACCAGTGCTGTGTGCACAGCAGATCATTCTTATGGAACAAGAGGAGCCATATGGGCACATCCTGATTCAACCGGGGCCCAAATTCTACCAAGGGTAGAGCCCATTTGCAAAGCTGTAAGAAACCAGCTTCATTAAACCATCTTCTGTCTCCCTGTGCCTTGCCTGCCTTATTTTTGAATGTACATCGCTAACCCTCCTGCTCTTAGAGCTATTGTCCAAGCAGAAAACAAACTGTCTTTATTACAGTAAGTCACGACTCCACCTGTAATAATACATACAGTCCAAGAACACTCCTGTAAGGCAGCAAGTAGGGTTGAGTCCAAGTGAATATGAGGCCCAGAATCTTTGGTAAGGCGTGAGTTGAAATTTGGCTGAGGTGGTCTTAGGGCCGTGGCATGTTCTGCTTCTCTGGCCCAGCTGCAGCCTGTAGACTATGTGAGACCCAGCACAGCCTGGAGCTCCTGAGCCTTGTCAGCAGGCAGGGAGCCCAAAGCTGTGTAGAAACTGTCAGCGTGCTGTTTGGCCAGGAACGTCAGGAGCAGCAGCAGTGCAGCCTTCGTGTCTGGGTGGAGAGGGGAGGACTGGGTTCCTAAACCCTACAGGCTCCACATATCTTCTGAGCCCTGTTTACATGCCGCCCCCCCCCCCCCCCCCCCCCCCCCCGCCCAGCCTCCATCATCCTCACCTGGTGGGAATTTGTTGTCTGATAGGACGAGGCTGCAGATGCGCAAGAGCTCAGGGGCCACATCTACTACCTGTGGGAAATGAGTGGTTGACTTGGCGACAGAAGCAGCCCTAGGCCCCAGGACTAAGGTGGGTGGTGGGGACAAGGAGAAGCAGTCTCCTGTCAGGGCTGTTTGCATCCAGTACTGATTCACAGACATCCAACTGTCAACATGAGAAGGAACAAGGAAACAGTAGTAATAATTCCCTTTTTGGAGGAGATGGGAGATGTATGACTAAAGATGATTAGTCATTAAGACCAAAAGAAGCAGACAGCCAAACATTCTTCTAACATGTTAAGACTAAAGGTATAAGACAAAGGCAACAAGAACACATGGATATGAAAGCAAACTTAGCTTGGTACATGCAAAATCTCCTAGCTACTCAGGAGGCTGAGATCTTGGTTTAAAGGCAGCCTGGGCAGGCAAGCCTGTGAGACACTATCTCGCAAAAAGCTGGGGGTGGAGCTGTGGCTCAAATAGTACAAAGCTGGCCTTGATCACAAAAAGCTCAGGGACAGGTCCCAGGCCCTGAGTTCAAGCCCCAAGATCAGAACTGCTCTGACTCAAATGTATGGTGGAATGTGACAGTAATGCCCACGTAGCAGTTTTCTAGCCCTGGTCTAGAAAAAGTGGCCTGGGAAAGTTGACAGGGCAGAAATGTAGCTAAGGAAAAATGCTTTTTCGAGCAAGGACCAGCTGCCAATCCTCACAGATGAGCAGGAAAATAGAGGAGGAAGAACCCAAAGGAAGCTGAACCCATCCTGCCTGCCTTAGCTACAACTTGACACCACCTCTGCCTGTCATCAGGCCTGGAACATCCCACCCCTCCTATTCATAAGGGCTGCCAGCATCAAGGTTACCTGGTCAGGACTGCTCTGGTACAGGAAGCTGAAGAGGTGCCCTATGGTGACCCACTCTTCTAAGTCTTCCCTCAGTGGCAGGGCATGAAGCAGGGCAGCCAGCACCTAGACACAACAGATGCCTCAGGCTACTTTCCTGCCCACTTCTTTCCCTCCTTGGCTTCAGAACCTCCAGGTTCTGCCTGATGTCCCCTTCCCTCCTCACCTGGGGCTCTGGTTTCCTTGTTGGACTGGCCATTAACAGGCGGGCGAGAGCACCACAGATATTGTCACGGACACGATCATGTCGCTCCCGTGCCAGGAGGGGCAACAGGAGGCCCAAGAGTTTAGGGAAATGGCTGATCCACAGTCAAGGAACAGATTAACGCACATGGGCAGACCTTGCCCATCCCAAATCCTCCTTGCCAATCTCACTCTCCCCTCTTACAGTCCAAGGATACTCTTGGGCAGCGCGACCTCCATGCTCTGCAAGTACACCCAACCCAAAAATGGCATTGCTCCGCACCTCAGGGTCTGCCTCTCGGGCAGTATTCAGCAGCGCTGGGAGCAGTCGAGATACAAACTGGGCTGAAGCAGCACCCAGACCCTGAATGGACTCTGCCAGTGTGCCCACTGCAAAGGACTTCTCTGCCACTGTGCAGCCCTGTTTCTGTGGGGGAAGGCAAGGGAGTAGTGCATATCAGCCTGGGACTGGGACACTGTGAAGGCAGGCACTGGGCACAGGGGTTGTAGGGGTTTGAAGGTACAGAATGGAGCACTCACCGTCTTACATAGCAACAACGGCAAGAAGCCAGCAAAGAAAGGAGCGAAGGCATCTCCCCCAGCTGCAGCTGCCAGGGCAGGAATGGCCTCTCCAGCATGCTCTAGCAGCATGGCATCGTATTCAGCCTGTGAAGTCAAGTCAGGGACTGGAGCAGCAGGATCAACGCTGTGTTCCTTCAGGCTGCTTGTGGTTCTAGGGGCTGACCTTTGTGGTGTACCTGCCCTGCTTCTAGGGTGTACCTTTTTGTAGCCCTAGCCTTCCTGCTCCTACTTATCACTCCAAGTCTTCTCAGGCCACCCTGCTCTCCCCTGAACTCATACTGCCTCAGTGGTGTCAGGGTTTTGTCACCAATCTCCCGTGTTCTTGGCTCCCCCCAGGCCAAGCCAAGTATACTACCCACCCAGGCCCTTTCAAGACTACCTGGGCTACTGAGGCCTGTCTTCACCTCTAGTGCTCACCTGATCATCGTCTTCTTCATCATCATCTGTGTCTTGACAGGCTGTCTGTAGGAAGAAATGTAGCTCAAGTGAGTCTGGGCTCTCTGCCCTTCCTGTCCGTGAGGGTGGAGATACATAGGGAGCTGGTCTTATAGGGCCTCTGGAACCTCCTCTTCCCCAGTCCTCCATATCCTGCTTACCTTCCTCTGCAGCACAGCCTTGAGCAGGCTGCAGAGCTCAGCAAGGCGCCCAGAGGGCTGCAGTGTGAGGGACCCACAGTTGCGCAGCACCCCTGTGAGGGCCTCTAGCACAGCCATCACCACCTGGCGCTCTCGTTCTCCTTTCACTGCCTTCATGTAGGATGGTATCACCCTGGCCAGGGCAGCCTGCAGAGCTGGAAACACAACTGGTCAGGCCCTGCCCTGCCCCCAAGTTCCCAGCCTGGCCAGGCTTCTGCTTCTCACCAGTATTGTTGGGTTCTGAAGGGCAGCTCTGACAGGCCTTGTGAAGTGCACAGCAGAACTGACCCAGGGCCTCGTGGGCTGCCTTCCGCACGTTGAGGTGAGGACACTGTGGAACAAAGAGGCGAGGTGTATGCTGCTGTGTGCAAAGTGAAAACAGATTCAGTCCAAGTGCCCCACTAACTCACCTCCAGAAGTTTCACTACTTCTTCAAAGACATTCTCCATGTATGGAAGGAAGGCCACACTGTGGACAGACACACAACAGTGGGCAAAGGGCTTCCAGGTGGGATTCCCAGTGCCAGGGGAAGGGCCAATGCTCACCTGGTGTTCACAGAGATCTCCCCCAGTGCAGTGCACGTGTCTTCCTTCTCATCGAAGAAGGCATTCTCCACACTGTACCTACAGGAAGGTGGGGAGGCAGCGATCAGGTACCAGTGGGAGCAGCTCCAACAAGGCCCCTTGTCCAGAGTCAGAGATTGCAGTCCCCTGTGTAGAGACACACTACTCCATACCCTGAAATCTCGGAGTCATCTTCCTCTTCTACATCCTCATCCATGAGCTCCTCTTCCTCTTCCTCATCACTCTCATCATCAAACAAAAGAAAGGAACTGCTTCCATCATACTGAGGCTGGATGGAGGAAGCAGAATAGAGACTCACTGCGGGAAGGGGGTACCCAGGAGAAAGTCCCTATCACAGGGCCAGCTTGACTAACTTCATCTTATGTACATGCCCTCTGCTCACCACAATGCCTTCGGTGGAACGCAGTGACAACAGCATGAGTGTGGTGATTTTTGGCAGGTAGGGTGCCAGGCCCTCACCCATCAGTCCTGATAAAGCTGCCAATAAGCTGTACCTGGTAGAGGCAGAAAGAAACTGTATAATCAGTTGAGAGACAGAGTGACAGAACTCAGAGAAACCTGGACTCAAATGTGGAACAGGAACTATGGATCCAGGATGAGGGGTCACTCACGTGCAGCGCCGCAAGTCAGGGTCATCTACCTGGTCACATAAGCCCAGCCCCAACTGACAGCATTCTTCAGCCAGGGGCCTCATGGGTTCTCCCACTGCTCGTACCAGCACCCCCAGAGTCTCTGTGGAGGCAAGGATGCAGAGGTACACTGAGACACAGAGATGATAGGATTTTAACAATTCTACCCTACTCCTAGGTAAGGAGAAGAAAAAGCCTTTGATGAGAAGGAAGATAGGCTTTCGGCCCTGGGGACACCAGAACATCAGCCCTTCCTTGGAGCTGGGAATCCCTCACTCACCTAGACTCTGGATCCGCACAGGCTGAAGGTCTTCATGGCCTGTCAACAGGAATTCCCGAAGATGTTCCATGACCATGGGGAAGTAAGGCAGGAAGGAGGCCTGAGCAGCTGTGGCTGTAGGACAGGACAGAATCAGAGCTAAAAGAGCAGGGAAGGGGGGAGGTGGGACCACCTCCCACAGGCAGAATGGTACAGGGTGAATGAATCCTCTAAGGTCACTTCCTGTCTCTTTTTCTCCTCACCAATGGCCCCCAGGGCGCTCACAGCCAGCTCCTTGGCCCGGGGACTGCTGGGGTTCCTCAGAGGCTGCAGCATACACTCCATAAGCTCTGGAAGGTAGGGCTGTACTTTGGGCCCTGTGGGAAAGAGTGACTAATCAGCCCAGATCTCCAACCTTCTGCAAATGGACCTGCCTCCAGGCTGACTCCGTAGCCTCTCCATCTGCTTCTCCCCACTACAGGTGGCAATGCAGGAGATGCACTTGGCTCCTATTGGTCAAAGCTGCACTTCCCCTGCATTCCCCACTGCCATCACTACCTAGGTTCTCCACGAAGTTCTCCAGGGCATAGCAGGCTTTGGCGAGGTGGTGTGTGTGCCCTGCAGGCACTGACTTCAGGTAGGTGAGGAGCATCGGCATCACCTCCCCTGAATAGCTGCAGATATGGGGCTAGGGGAGGGAGCAAGAGAAGCAGAAGTCAGGTTCACCTGCAGGACATACCCCTGAGTGCCAGTGGCAGTAAATATGCTTGAAAAGATGAAAACAGAGGGGAAGCTGACACTTAGTATGGGTGAGGGACAAAGCCAGCTGCCCAGATTTAGTCTTGCTGACCTGCAGATTCTCTGAGAACTGGCCCAGGGCAAAGAGTGCAGCATTGCGCACAACTTGTGAGGAGTCCTGCAGGCCTTTGCACACGATCTGTAGCAGTGGGGACAGCAGTCTGAACAGGATGAGATAACGGACAAAGTCTGAGAGGCAGGATCTAAGAGCCCTAGGCTAACATGTCCTCTCATTTCTCCTGGGAAAACCAAAGCTTTCTCTATCACTGGCTGGTAGTACCATCCTCTGGTCCTTATCACTGGAAGGCCATTTCATTTATCTTCCAAACCCAGCAGCAGTTTCAAACTAGCTTTCAAAGTATGGAGAAATACTCAGTGGCTGATCAGTGCTACTGACAAGCTGAAACAACAATATACGCAGGACTGCCATAGGATGTGTACCCCACCCCCTTCCATGGCCCCCCTCATCCTGGGACAGGAATTAAATAGCTACCTCTGCCTGATATGGTCACCAGCTCCGTCGGACAATACAGCTAACACCAGGAGCCCAGCCTTGCGCTGATATGGGTTCTCACTCCGCAAGGCCTCTTCCAACATGGGCATCTAGGGAGAGTATAAGGCCCTGAGTTCAAGCCCAAGTATTAGCACTAAATAAATAAATAGAACTACACTTACCAATTGGGGACAAAGCTTCTCAGGGGGAAGGTGTAGGGCCAGCATGTCCACCACCTGATAAAGCACAGTGAGATTGATTCCATCTCTATCTCCCTAACATCCCACAGCCACTTAACAGCTTGTCCTGCCCACCCCATAGCCTACCTGTACAGCAAAGTGCTTGGGAGTCTCCCCCACCAGCCCAATCTCCAATTCTTCTTCTTCAGAATCCTGGTCTTCAGGATCCAACTGCCCTGGGGGTGGCTCAGCACCCATAATGGGGAAAAGAGTTTGCAGCAAAGGAGGCAGCAGACGGTTCTTCAGTATGGCCTTGAAAAGAAAAAGCCATTATTCCTGAAAATCTCTTGGGTGCATTAAAAAATTCCAAGGACCCCAAATAAGATTCCTAATCTCCTAGATATAAATTACAGTGAGGCAAGGCCTAGGCTTAAATAGCAACCTTTAGATATCAATAGAAAGCTCAGACAATGAGATTAAGGGTGGAGATAGGGTTGGGGTAATATACATCAGAGGAGACTATAATCCTAGCTACTTGGGAGACACAGATCTAAAGACTGTGTTCAAAGCCAGCCTGGGCAGGAAAGTCCATGAGAATCGAATCTTCTCTCCAATTAAAAACACCAAAAGGTAGAAGTAGAGCTGTGGCTTGAGCATAAAAGCTCAGGTACAGCACCCAGGCCTTGAGTTCAAGCCCCAGAACCACATACATGCATGTGTGCATGCATACCCCTGCCCCCAAACCAAAACCAGACAAAAAATATCAGAGGACACCCACCTTGCTCTTAACTTTGACCAGGAAAGTGAGGCAGCAGAGAATACGTACACGTATTGCATCACCCAGGGCTATGTTTTTAGCTACCTGCCCGGAGACAGCAAGAATCAGCAAGAATACTTAGACAAGGTTGGGGCACCTGGTGGCTCATGCCTGTAATCCTAGCTACTCAGGAGGCTGAGAAGTGAGGATCATGGTTCAAAGCTAGCCCAGGCAGGAAAGTCCTTGAGATTCATCTCTAATAAACCACTCAGAAAATCAGAAGTGGCACAGTGGCTCAAGTGGTAGAGCGCTAGCCTTGAGCTGAACAGCTGAAGGACAGCATTCAGGCCCAGAGTTCAAGCCCCATGACTGACAAAAATAAATAAATAAATAAACAAAAAAGAATACTTTGACAGCAAAACAAACAACTGAGGCCATGCATTGAGGCTTACCTCTAGGCAGAATGTAAGGACTTCAGAGAGATGGGGAGTGATGATGGGAACCTCTGACTCCAGCAGTTCATCCAGAGCCTCCAGGGCCTCACATGCCTTTGCCTGACAGACAAGTCATCTCAATCATGCTCCTCTGGAGATCAAGCTGCAAGCTTCGGTACAATCCTTCCCATAGAATGTGCTCCCTCCCCACCCTTCTGTCTTTACCTCATCTATGGGGATCAGAGTCTTCACAGCAACAATAAGCTTAGGCACCAACATTCGTGCAAGAGGCTGGGAAATACAAGATGAGATTGGTCACATAAAGCACAATGAAGCCTAAATTCCAGGGCCCAGAAACTGGTAGCATCTTCAGTCTGTAATCTTAAAAAGGAGGTGAGGTACAGCAGCTAGGTCTGACCACACAAAGTATTCCCTTCCTTATGGTTAGGAAGAATCTAGTAAGAAAGATAAAAAATCCGAAGGGGCTGGGAAGGTGACTCAGTGGTAGAGTGCCTGCCTTGCATGCATGAGACCCTGGGTTTGATTCCTCAGCACCATATAAGCAGAAAAAGCCAGAAATGATGCTGTGGCTCCAGTGGTAGAGCACTAGCCTTGAACTAATGAGCTGAGGGACAGTGCTCAGGCCCAGAGTTCAGACCTCACGACTGACAAAAACAAAAATGAAGCTGCTTAGAAACCTGCAACAGTAAAGACAGTAAACAATAAAGATTAAGGCCTCTGTCTTACCATGTCATCTATGTTGAGGTATGGAGCCATGGTGGCTAGAGTACGCAGGGAGTAGAATAGTAGCCCAGGACAGCCCACTTCTCCAAGAGTCTCATTTAAAAGCCGAAGAAGCTCCCGATGATGGGGTTGGAAGGCCTTTGGCTGGGAAGTCACCACCACACTTAGCAGCAAAAGTCCCATCTGTCCAAGAATTGAGGGTGGGAAAGAAAAGCTTTTATGATATATCCAGACCCTCAGTCCCTTCCTCCTAAGTGTGACAGTACCTCTTTCTCAGAGTTATGGGGGCTTCGAGTACTGTGCTGAAGAAGCTGCATGAGCTGAGGCCAGGCCTCCAGGCCTTCTTTTCGGAAAATGGTAGCTGAGAGCTGGGCCAGGCTGAGGCTCACAAAGTGCCTGCAAACAGGAGACTCCCCTGAAATCACCCTTTAATGCCTTTACCTGCATACCCACGGCTCTTCTTCAATGGAGTAGGCCAGGACAGAAATCATCAGGAGGTTGTGAGCACAAGATCTTTGCCGAGTTGGAACATAAGAAACATCAACTCAGAGAGAACCCAGCAGCACTGAGTCTGCTGTGTGATCTTTGGCCTCATCCAACCTGAATTTCAATTTCATTCTTCTGACTCCAGTTTGGCAGACAATCATCATCCATTCTCAAGAACTTTAGTTGTCAAAAGAATTAGAATTTTGCTCCACCCTCGGTTTAGGGTTGAAGTCTCTGCCCTGCCACACTCCCCCAGTCCCAGTGTGGAGCTGAAAAGAAGGTAGAAACTCAGAGAATCACAATCTAGAGTCAGTCAGGACCAAAGCAAAGGGTGAGGTAGTCACTTACTCTGTCTCTCTCTGAAGGGCAATTAGGACCAGAGACTTGAAGCTGGAAGACAAGTTTCAAATGTTTGGTACCCAGCCAGCCACAGTCACCTCAACTTGGCCGCGCCCCGCCACAGGCCTAGCCCACCTCTCACGCTGTTCTGCAGCTAGGCGTCGCCAGTGGGTGTTGAGTCGTCTACGGACCAGCACAGCTGCGAACTGGCGGATCTAAGATGTAGAGACAGACATGTGAGGAAGACACTGAGAAGACCACAGAGTGGCGCTGGTGGGGAAAGAGCTGGAGTTTTTACCTGAGGGTCTGACGCTGAGGCCAGCAGGTCGCAAAGGGCAGGCAAGGCGGCAGGGTCGCGAAGGGCGATCTGGAGCTGCTCTGTGGCCTGGGGGAAAAGCTGGGTGAGACTTGGGCCTTTCTCCAAGTCTCCTGTTAGCCCTGCCCCGGTCCCACCTGCCTCATACCTGACGGATGCGTTTGGTATCCGGGAGAAGGAGCTCCCGTAAGATTAGTTCCAGGCCGGCAGGCTCCATGGCAGCAGCAGAGCCGCCGCTACCGGGCTGGGAAAGGGAGGGGGGAGGGACGGCACGTGGACCTGACCCACTTCCGGCGGAAAGGGCGTTACACCACGACTCTCTGGTTGCCAAGGTGATTTAACTCACTTCCTACGAAGAAATTCCCGACTGGGCCACGGAAACCCGTCCCCTGGCAACATAGGTTCCGCCGGCCGAGGGTTCCCAAGCTGTGCTGGAGAACTCAGTGTATTCATAGCGGACTTTCTAAGGGGTCCTCGAGTTCTGTAAACAGAGCCAAATCTCCAACTACAGGACCTTTTTCTTAATAAATTTTATTTTGATAATTGTAAAAAGAAAAATCAGGACCAAAACTAAAGGCAACTTAAAAAGTTCAAATATATATTCCTTATATAATAGAGATTTATAATTTCCAGGCTCTCCTGGGGAAGGGAGAGCCCAAAGAGCAAACAATAAGGCAACATTGCCATCACACAATTCAGTCAGAGAAAAGCTGTCAGGAGAGATCAACAGGGTATGAAGAAAGGGAAAGAAAATAGTTCTGCCTCAGAAATCAGTCCATTTTGAGATTGACATAGATATAACGGATGAATTTTAGGGAAGAAAAAAAGGAGATGGTACCCAGCATGAGGAAGAAGACGTAACCAGTAAGTAAGGAGTAGCCAAAGAATTCTACTGTCTGTACTGCTCCTGACATGTTGGAGCGTCGGGCATAGTAGAAAACTGAGTAGAGGAAGATGAAGAGGCCAGTGGAACCAACACTCAGTACAGATCGCCACCACCAGCGGTAATCCTCCCCAGACAACTGGAAGTAGGTGAGTGCAATGGAGATGCAAGCCCCCACACTCAGCAGGATGGCAAAAACAAAGAAGAGGATGCCATACAATGTGTACTGCTCTCGACCCCAGACTGTGGCAAAGATGTAGTACAGCTCCACAGAGATGGCACTGTGAAGAGAAAACACAATTCACTGTGCACTGTTAGTACCACGATGGAACCAAAATCTAGCCCACACCCTTCCATATTATTGGGTCTTGGGTCCCTGTGGAAAGTGAGACCACCCTTTCTCTCTGCCCTAGATTTCCTGGCCTCAGTGGGGATTTTATTTTATTTTTTTTGTTGGTCATTGGGCTTGAACTCTGATTTGGGCACTGTGCCTCAGCTCTTCAGCCCACGGTGAGTGCTCTACCACTTGAGCCACAGCGGCACTTCCAGTTTTCTAGTAGTTTATTGGAGATGAGTCTCATGGACTTTCCTGCCTGGGCTGGCTTTGAACTGTGATCCTCAGATCTCAGCCTTCTGAGTAACTAGGATTACAGGTGTGAGCCACTGGCGCCTGACTATCAGTGGGGATTCTTTTGCCTATGATTTACCTGCTCTCATTTCAAGAATATCTTCATTGGGGCTGAGAAGGTGGCTCAGTGGTAGAGCGCTTGCCTTGCATGCATGAGGCCCTGGGTTCGATTCCTTAGCACCACATAAGCGAAAAGAAAGAACATCTTCACTGATCATTTGAAAGTAGGGATCTTGCCAGGCGCTGGTGGCTCACGCCTGTAATCCTAGCTACTCAGGAGGCTGAGATCTGAGGATCACGGTTCAAAGCCAGCCCGGGCAGGAAAGACTGTGAGACTCCTATCTCCAATAAACCACCAGAAAACCGGAAGTGGTGCTGTAGCTCAAGTGGTAGAGTGCTCGCCTTGAGCTGAAGAGCTGAAGGACAGTGCCCAGGCCCAGAGTTCAAGCCCCACGACCGACAAAAAAAAAAAAAAAAAAGAAAGTAGGGATCTTTTCCGTTTTATTTGCTTCTGCATTAGCTACCTGGCAAAAAGAGGTACTCAACAAGTTGAATGAGTAATCAAATGGGCTTTAAGCCCCAAATGATGCCACTAAAACACTAAAGAACCCAGGTTCTGCAGGCATAATGTGGGGGCATACAGCCATTTACTACTTTGAGTAGAAGAGCTTAATCTGAACTAACTGAAGATTAGTTCTGCTAGGGCATTGAACTACTTAATGAGCTCTTAGTGGTACAGCAGAACTAGGGATTATTAATGGGTTATGATACGAGGTGAGTGGGAAAAGTTGAGTCATGGCTATGGGACGAAGGATACCTGAAAGGCAGGAAGCCTCCAACAGTCATGTGGATGAGAGTTGACTTGTACCATGGCTGGGGTGGGATCTCCCGGGCAATATTCTTGGTACGACAAGGTGCATCAAATGGGCTGGCATTGTTCTTCCCAAAGATTCCTCCAATGACAGTGAGAGGAAAGCCTACCAGCAGCCAAACCGTCAGAAGCAGCAGGATGGTGGTGGCTGGCAGAGCTTGTGTTGAACCATTGGCCCAGTGCACTGAGTTCACCACACTCCACGTCAGGAAGAAAGGCACTGTAGGAATGGGTTCCCACAGAGATCGGCATTAGGAGTTATATGTGTGGGGTACTTACTCGGATTGGTCCTAAAAAAGAGGGCTAAAGCAGCCTACAACTCTAAGGGCCCACCCACATTCTTGGATAATCATATAGAATTGATTACTTTCTTCTTCACTTGTGTGTGTGTGTGTGTATGCTAGTCCTGGGATTTGAACTCAGGACCTAGATACTGTCTCTGAACTTTTTTTCCTCAAGCTAGCACTCTACCATGTGAGCCACAGCTCTACTTTTGGCTTTTTGGTGGGTAACTAGAGATAAGAGTCTTATGGACTTTCCTTTCCCTAGGCTGGCTTTAAACTGCAATCCTCATATCTCAGCCTCCTAAGTAATGAGGATTATATGTGTGAGCCACTGGTGCCTGGCTTCACCTTTTATGCCACATTGTTCTTTGTTCCTTGTCTTGTCTTGCCAATACCCCTTCCTCTACCCAGTGTCATCATGGGCAATTGCTCATCATGATCTGAAAGACAGAAATACTCTTGTGTTCAAGGTCTGTCTTGTCATGGCATTGGAAATTCTTAGCATTGTGACCCTGTTTTCAGAAAGCCCCATTTTATATAAAACTAGCACATAAAACTAGTAACATGAAGGATTCATACAACTGCCTTTGAAAGGACTGAAGTAACCCTACCTCCAAGATAAGTGAGGGACTATCCAAATATGAATTTAAGAGTGTACTTTAAATCTAAATATTCTCATCTAAACCGTGTTAAGAATACAGGCTTTAGATTCAGACTGCTGGATCTGAAACCTGATTCACTACTTTTTGTGTCTATGTGTATGCTGGTATTGAGGCTTGAGTTCAGTGCCTTGCAAATTCTCTTAGCTCTACCATTTGAACATACTCCCACTTCCAGCCTTTCTCTGGTTAACTGGAGATAATTTGGGATTTGTCTTCCAGGGCTAGCTTCGAACTATGATCCTGATCTCAGTCTCCTAGAGTTGCTGGGATTATAGTGTGAGCCACCAGTGCCTGGTTCTGGATATTTTAACTTTTTTTTTTTTCTCCTCTAGTTCTAGAGTTTGGGCTCATGCTCAAACTTTAACTTTTAATTGTTTAAAAAGGCAGGGCTATGGGGCTGGGAAGGTGGCTCAGTGGTAGAGTGCTTGCCTTACATGCATGAGGCCCTAGGTTCGATTCCTCAGCACCACATAAGCAAAAAGAAAAAAAAGCCGGAAGTGGCGCTATGGCTCAAGTGGTAGAATGCTAGCCTTGAGCTGAAGAGCTGAGGGACAGTGCCCAGGCCCAGAGTTCAGGCCCCATGACTGGACCCAAAAAAACAAAACAAAATACAAAGGCATGGCTAGCCGGGCGCAGGTGGCTCACGCCTGTAATCCTAGCTATTCAGGAGGCTGAGATCTGAGGATCGTGGTTCAAAGCCAGCCTGGGCAGGAAAGTCAGAGACTCTTATCTCCAATAAACCATTAGAAAACCAGAAGTGGTGCTGTAGCTCAAATGGTAGAGTGCTTGCCTTGAGCTGAAGAGCACAAAGACAGCGCCGAAGCCCAGAATTCAAGCCCCAGGACCAAAAAAAAAAAGGCAGGGCTCAGTGGGAGAGTGCTTGGCTTGCGTGCATGAGGCTCTGGGTTTAATTCCTCAGCACCACATAAGCTGAAAAAGTCAGAAGTAGAGCTGTGGCTCAAGTGGTAGAGCGCTAGCCTTGAGCTGAAGAGCTGAGGGACAGTGCCCAGGCCTAGAGTTCAGGCCTCATGACCGACCAAAAAAAAATTTTTTTTAAAAAGCAAACCAGGTGCCTGTGTCTTATGCCCACAAGCCTAGCTTCTCAGGAGGCTGAGATTTGAGGATCAGGGTTTGAAGCCTGCCTGGGCAGGAAAGTCTATGAGACATTAATCTCCAGTTAACCTCCAAAAAGTTAGGAGTAGGGCTCTCACACAAGTAACAGAGCATTAGCCTTGAGCATAAAAGCTCAGGGACAGCACCCAGGCCCTGAATTCAAGCCCCAGGACTAGCATAAAATTTTTTTTAAAGGTAACCTAGAGATATAGCTCAGTGGTAAAGTGTTTGCCTAATATATACAAGGCCTTGGGTTCAATCCCCAACACTGAAGGACAAAGAAAAGCATTCTGAGCCACATAGCGCTCATGTAATCCTCACACTCAAGGTTGGAAGATCATGAATTTGCAGCTAGCCTGAGCTACATAGCAAGCCCATCTCAAATAAAGAAAAAGCTGTGCACTGGTAGTTCATGCCTATACTCCTAGCTACTCAGGAGGCTGAGATCTGAGGATCGAAGTTTAAAGCCACCCCAGGCAGGAAAGTCCATGAGACTCCTATCTCCAATTAACCACCAGAAAACCAGAAGTGGCACCATGGCTCAAAGTGGTAGAGTGCTAGTCTTGAGTGAAGAGCGCAGGAATAGCACTCAGGCCCTGAGTTCAAGCCCCATGTTAGAAAAAAAAAAAGTGTTCATTTGGATTCTTTTTTTTTTTCTTTTCTTTCTCTCTGCCTACATTCCTTCCTCCCCTACCCTCTCCTTTAAAATCTCACTCTGACTATATTCCAAATTCCTTGATGTGTTCTTAAGTCCAAGCAGACCCACTAGGGAAGGAAAAAATCCTCACCAGAAAAGAGACTGGTAGTGAGAATGATA